GCTTGCGTAAAAACAACCATGTCCTACGTGACCACTTTCATTTTTTTTTAATTGTTTGGTGGGTTTACGTCCCAAAACCACCACATGACTATTGGAAACGCCGTAGTGGTGTCTTCCGGAAATTTCGACCACCTGGGAATTATCATCATGCGCAGCCTGACTAAGCCCACTGTAGGGCAAAGGCCTCTCCCACGATCCGCCAATCAACCCGGTCTTGTGCTTTCTGCTGACACGTTATACCTGCGAACATTTTATTCTCATCAGCCCACGTAACTTTCCGTCTCGCCTTTGTGCACATGCCTTCCCTGGGAATCCAGTCAGTTACCCTTGATTACCAGTGGTTATTCTGCCTACGTGCTACGTTCCCGGCCCATGTCCATTTCTTCTTGGATTCAACTATGATATCCTTGACCCTAGTTTGTTCCCTGACCCTGGGATTTTGAGTTTAGTGGATTGAATGTTTATATTGATTGATTGATTGTATGACTGATTGATTGATTGCAGAAATAGTAATTGTGAAAAAATAGAAAAATTATTAACACCCGGTATAACGCTTTATCCCAAAGCTATCAAATTGATCCTTTTCGATATTTTCCATAAAAAAGAACGCTTCCTCTAAGCAGCGTAAGTCACCGACGGAGATTACCAGTGAACCTGAGTTATATCAGTAGAAGTTTAGTTGGTTGATTGATTGATTTGCTTGTAAGCTCCACCAAGCTTATCCATATTGCGAGTATGATTCATCATTTAAACTACAAAACGCAGTGTGACCGCGACGGTGGCCAGTGTGGGCGCAGCGGGTATACCAGGAGGGGGCCTGGTCACCATGGTGATAGTCCTACAGGCCGTCGGGCTGCCTGCCGAGGACATCGGACTCATCGCCACGGTCGACTGGTTCCTGTACGTGCGGTCTTTCTCTCTCTCTTTCTCTCTCTGTCCGCCATCTTACTACACTCCTTAGACTGTATGGCTGCAACGGTCGCCTTAGCCCTTTCGCTTGTCAATATCGTGCACTCAACCAAAATAACGCTGTCTGAAAGGGGTCTTTCAACACTTTTTCAGGATGATCGATAAATGCTGCTGATTAGAATTTAAGGCACCTACGAACACGTGAGCCAAACATTAAAACGCAGTAAGTGACGCAGAATTTAAAATTAAACTTCGAAGTCAGCTAGAAATCGTTATTTGCCTCGACAAATGATTCCATATTTCCAAAATGAACTGATTCATACACTCAGAGGTATACATGTACGTGGCCATTGGCTGATTTGATCATTGTGAGCATGGCCTCCGAGATGGTGGGCGTATGGCCATTATTTCGGAGGCCATAGTCGTGAGCTGCATAGTTAACAAGACTACCGTGGTGTGTCGCGACGTGCCAGCACGCTCCTGATTGCGCCGGAGAAAAACCGCACGTACCAAAAAGTCCTGAAGATCACGACGCGTGCTGGCATACGGATGTAGCTTCTTGACTCCATGTCATTCTTTCCTGTCCCCACACTTAGAAAAAAGGAAGGGAAAGCGCTTAGAGCCCGGAACAAATCTTGCTCTTACTTACAAATTAAAGAATCCTTGCCATAGTCGATTCATGAGGCAGTAACCTCCGATAATTGGTTCATTCAATGATTACTTGAGAATATGTGTATTAGGACCCCATTAAGAACTATTTCTGCTGCCACAACACCGCGAGACACTTTAACAGGACATGTATTGCAACTTATAAATTGCTGCTATAGCATGCCGCAGATCATGCATGAAACAAGGCAAACCTGCAATTTTACGGTTCTTGAATGATTAACCTTACGCAATGAATACAAGCAAGGGTTATCAAAACCATAGCAGCTTGCCTCGGTGAATCATTGATGCGGCCCTGTTTGCTGGTTTATCCGTATATATTATCCGTAAGTTGTGCATGGTTCTTCAGTGGGAGCGATCTACCAGGCTGTATCGCTCGACTAGCCTCTCTCTATATGGAGCCAAGAGACGGGAGCGCTTGATGCTACGGCCCTCCAAACGGTTCAAGCGAGCCAGCGTACAGTCAATCCGCCATATTTTGTACAGCCCGGCCATCGAATATAGATGAGCGAGGGCCACAGTGGTATGCCATAGAAACAATCGTGAGAGCACCAATTTGCGTAACAGTCAACTCCTTTGTGGTATGCACAGCCGGACGGTAATGAATGCTCTTGGCTGCAGTGACCGCTTCCGCACGGTGGTGAACGTGATGGGCGACTGTGTGGGCGCCGCCATCGTGAACCAGCTTAGCCACGCCGACCTCAATGTAGGGGTTGTCAGCGAGGACCACGATGGCCTGTCTACCGCCATCCGCCCCAAGGCCTTCGTGTGACCCACCTCGGCGGCCCAAGCGCAACACCGTTTATTTTCGCGGTGTTAAACGATGATATACCGGAGCGGAATAAAGTATTTGGTCTGTTCAACAAACTATACCACGAATTTTCGGATTACCGGTGGCTGATCTTAGTGTGGGTAAGTCGTTGGCGCCACCTGGCGACGCGAAGAAGCCACGCTAAGCGTTACTATTGTTGCAGTAACCAGTGCTGGCATAAAAACACCGGTGAAATTCGGTATACCGTGCGTATTTTTAGTGCCTTTATTCTCGCCGTGGTACACCAAAACATGTCAGTGCATTGCGCGATTTGACGAGGCGTCCTCCGGAAGTTGTTGCCATCGTCCGATAACCCTGCACTGCGCAAAATCCAATGAGTAAAAAAAAAACTATGCAGATATTTTTTTTTACTTCACGTCCCAAAAGCTCCATACGATTATCGGGAAAGGCGTAGTGGAGGGCTCCTTAACATGCGCTTAAAACACTGGTCTCTAGCTTTTCACATTAACCTCCACTGAAATGCGGCCGTCGTAGCCGAGATTCGATGCCTCGACTCGACTTCTGTAGTCGAACAGCACGACCACTACACCACCGCGACTGGTAAAAAGTTATCACTAAAGTAAGCAAAAGTTTTCTCATGGTAAAATGTTGGCACGGATGGGCGCTGTCTCTTCTTTTTCTCCTCTTCTCATGGATATATCGATGGGGAAGAGAGTATTTCTCTTGGCCACAAACTATGGTTCGCGATGTTAAAACAAGCGGTATTTTCCATTCAATCACGGCAGCATAGAAAGTGATAGACACTCCCTACAGTGAGCTCCAGAGCGTAGTACAGCTGACGCCATTGCCTTGAAAGCGCAGTGCCTTGAAAGGAGTGGACAATGGGCAATTCTATGCAGACAACGTGAGTCACCAATACGGCGAATAAAAACCGCCAGACTTGCCCAGAATGTGCACCACAGTTTCAGCGAAAGCTGGAAGAGCGGCCTTTCTAGTGCATTTTTTAGAACAGTCTTTGGGTAAATGCTACAAGCACGCTTGCAGGGTACCCGCTACGGCTTCAAATGCCATAAATCAATTTTAGTGTAGTAGGCAGGCATCCACTATGGCGTTGTTAGTCGTTCTTCCGAGAAGCGTGGTGCACGCTATACACTTCAAGGAATTGTGCTTTTTGTTGATGCTGTTGCTGACAGCGATGAAGAATTTCACCTGAAGCTTTTTCTAATGGGTTGGAGCAGTCGATGGCCCACTCGTTACGCAGTTTGCTTAGTGCGCGCTACCTCGTTGTTTTCCTCTACTGTTTAAAACGTTTTACTACTCGTATCAACGCGATCTCTCTCCCGACTGAAGTCTGTCTATAGGACGAGTCGGCAACGCAGTTTCAGGCACCGACGTAGATCAGTGGTAGCATTTTGGGCCACCACGCAGAGGGTCCAGGTTTGAATTCCATTCTACTCTCAGCAATGTTTACTTAGTTTGTTTTTTTTTTCTGATTTCACGCGATAGCTGTTACGGACACCGGTGGCGGTGGCGGCGGTGGAGAACTACAGCGCCAAAAACGACCCTTGTTGCTATCTCATAGCATCTTTTGCTGTAAAAGATTAAGGGAGGAAGATACACAGATTCATGCAACATTGATGAGCTCACAGACCACAGTCGGTGCAGACCTTACCTGGGTATGTTGTTCTTAGTCATTTGCAGGCAATTATTAGTTCTTGGAGAGGGTATGTACCAAAGTTCTCTATTACGGGTTGTATGCGCAGATATTTTTTTTTCTTTTCACGCGAAGCATTTATTTGAACACCGCAGGCACTTTTTCGTGTGTATCTAAGTATCTAGATCCATCTGTCTATCTGTCTAGCCACCTACGTATGGGTTAATCACATGGCATGAGATCACATGGCATATATCATATGGCATGAAATGTCTCACCAGCAAAGCGACACCACCACCACCACGTTGGGCAGTTCTGCTTATACAAAACGTTTTCTTTTGTGGTAGACGAAGAATGTTCACATCCGATTGCTAGGTGCATTCAGATATTCGCGACAATTGTCTCACGCGTGTGCATGGCCCAGATGCCGCGAAATGCGATTAACGCGATGTTAAAGTGAAGTGTTGTTCTCAGTCTATGTGAACGTTACTGACACAACCCCATGACAGAAATCTCCACAATCCCAGGACAGAAAATGTCGCGTATAACTGTATGATACGTTTGATACGTGATATATTTGGTATACTCTCAACCAAAATCAAGCACGCCACTGAGTAACAGTTTAAGAAATCGCCTTTTTAATGTCGCGAAAGATTTATTATATCGTTTCCCAATCTAAGCAACTAGGCACCACGTGCTGTGCTAGTTAAGTTCAGCGAGCGGAACACAATATCCAGACACGCACACATTAGAACTCCTGCACGCTTCTAAATCTGTCTCAGACGGCCTTCGCCCGCAGACCTGTATAGCTCGACATTAGCAGATGGCCTTCGGGGACGGTGGGTCGTCTCGGAGGTCCCACGTTTCGCTGCGTGCATTGGCGTTATCGCAGTGGTCACAGATGCCGGAGCCTTTCGAATCTTGGGGATACTTGAACCGAATGTGTGCTCCGAGGCCGAGGAGTGGTGTCAGCTGCCGAAGCGAATTTCCGATGGTCGCTCAAGCATCGCGGGCATTCCAGTAGTGGCAGTAGGCCGAGCGTTCGTCGTTTCGCACACCAGCCTGGTTCGGGTGCAAGTGCATGGCCAGAGACGAGCCGCGGGACAGCGGCGCCCACGGCTTGTTCATGAAGTTTCCCGGAACCCTGGACGAAGTCGCGTCCGCTAATAGCACCATCCACCCGATAATTCTAAAGTAGGATGTGACGGAATGTAATCTCAACTCCTAATTAGTGACGCTAGACGCATATTTGGTGGTGTAGAGATTACAAGCGAATCCCCCCCCCCCCTCCAGAGAAACCAGCAATGAACGTGCACGTGCATTTTTTCTTGTACGCCCACGCACACACACAGAAATCTGGTCAACCTCCCTAATTTATGCAAATCTCTCTCCGGCTCTCGCTCACTCTCATAACGTTACACGTGTTTCAAACGGCTTGCATTCGCATATGTATCGGTAGCAAATTCTCCGGTACATAGGCGTTTTCCTTTAATATGATTAATTTGAATTTCGTAGTAACTCCTTGTAAGCTCGTTCCAGACGCTGGCACTCGACTTTATCGCGCGAGCAGTTTATTTTATTTTGCTTTCCCTCTTTTCAACACGGGATTCCATCAAGTCAAGCTGTCGCGTGTGCCTTAATGATGTCACATCCCCGTGCATCGCCACCGCGACATCACGCGTGCCGACGATATCAGCCAGATATAAGCACGCCGCAGTCGCGCATACGTATACGTGACAGCGGCTGCGCCACTCCACAAAGGTTGCGACGCTCGAATGCGCCGAGCCTCCCGCGACGAGAGAAAACGACACTCGCGGAACCGGCGGACCATTAAACCGCGGGCACGTTAAGCGTTGACGCGAGCATGAGAGAGACGCGGGCGCGAGAAATAGCGCACCATGCAGGAGTCAGTAAGCGGTTCCCTCTCATCGTGCGCGAAGCGAGAAACGCTCTTTTCTGGGGTTTGAGCTCCGCGCAAGCATGCAGCCAGCGCACGCTCATTACCGGCGGAAGCAAGCGGCAGGAGCCTGCGATGCGGGAGTCTGCTTTTTCCGCCTTGCGTCAAAGCAGCCCGGAGAAGAGCCGCGTATAGGCGTATATAGGCTTCGATGATGCGCGTGGCAAAGAAACAGGCGAGCGAGATTCGACAGCTCGAAAAAACGCTCCTAACGACGCTATAAATACGACCAAGGAACCGTGTAGAGCTTCAACCTGTCTATAACACCAAGAAGATACGTCAGATTTTTGTTTCCTTTACGAGTTACCTGTCTTATATACAAGTGTCTCGAAAACAACAAAAAGAAAAGGTTCTAAGTTTTGTGACGTTCTCACCACACATCCTACAGCAGACTGACGTCAAGGGTTGTCCTTTTATAGCTGGAATATTCTATTCTGTCACATTTTCTCACGCAATCACAAATTGACGGCGTAGGCAGAGACGTAGTTCGGCATCAAAGAGCGATTTTTTTTATTTTGTTTGAAACAATTTAGTGGTTCAAGCATGCAACGCCATCTGTAAGTCGGTGCTCGCATGTCATCCTGTCTTTACTCGTTTTTTTTTTTTTTTGTAGCTCATGGGGCGATTCTCGGAACTCTCAATTACGGCGTCCCTCAAAATGAAATCATGGTTTTGGGACGTTGAACCTTAACAGTTATTAATACATTATTAGCTATAAGTAGCCACTGTGCTAGCGCTGAAGTCTGGGTCAAACTAAACTATATATATATACCTCTCGCAACCATGATTGGCCATGAAGGCGTATAGCGCCAGTACCCGCGCCTTCGTTCTGTTGGTAATCATGAAACTCCTCACTAAGCGGTCTTTTACGACGCTGCGCCCGAAAGCGCCTGAAAGGCGGCTTCTCGGGGCGAAAACCTTTCACGTCACGTGCACCTTTGCGAAAACGTGTTTATTACGTCCTCATGACGTGACAGGCAGGTCGCCGCATCGCCCGAACGCTCTATGGACATCGCTTTCGCAGCACTGAAACACCGCCACCGCAGGGGAGATGTGCGACCCGCGGATCAAGACAGCGACCCAGATAGGACCTAGCACAAACTGTTCATCCTATAATACCGCTACCGCCAGCATCGTGTTTCCAAGAAAATTCCTTTTCGGTCGAGGAGTGTGCCTACGTATAAATAAATGAAGCACGTAACAAAACAAAAACGTGGTTGATCCCTCCGTCGTATAGGAATTGGCAAAACACGGAAGTAAATCGTGTTCTCCCAGAGGTATTGATCGATACGTATACGGTTTAACGTTCCAAAACCACCATGTATGATTACGAGAGACGACGTAGGGAAAAGCTCCGGAAATTTCGACCTCCTGGGATTCTCTAACGTGCACCCAAATGTGAGCACACGAACCTACAGCATTTTCGCCCCCGTCGAAAATGCAGCTGCCGCAGGCGGGATTCGATCCCGTGATTTGCGGGTCAGCAGCCGAGTACCTTAGCCACTAGACCACCACGGCGGAGTTCCTCACAGAGGTAGTTTAATGTTTACTGTACATTGATATAAGAGAGGTTGCGCAGTTTTTTTTTCTTTTTTGACAGCTATAACACCGCTTAACGTGGATGCAATTCATGTTCGCGTAATCAAGCATTCACGTAGAAGTTTTCGTTGGGCTAGTTGGTGCGTGTTGTTCAGAAGGAATACGGCGCAAACGAAAAATGGTCCCATCTCTAACTCAACGTAAAATGTTCATCGTTAATTATCATTGACAAACACTTGTGGTCATAGATGATTATGGTAGCTGCAGTAAACGGTGGGCGCTGAATCATAAAAAGTGATGTGACAGCCAGAAAAGCGTGACCCACTGGACGCCGATTTTAAGGCCGTCTACTAGTGGCATGTTGGATTCATTGAACGCCATTGGCCGATGAGAGGGAAACGGAACGCGCGTCGTGTATCCTTTCAGGCTGGCCGGCCGCTATTATACGCGTGACCAGCGCAAGTGGACAAAGCGGAGTTAAAGCTATCATTTAAAGCCAAGCGAATGAGCGTCTCAGAAATGTTTCTGGTATCAATAGATGCTATGATCGACCCTTGGGATAAGGGCACCACCTGGGTGTACGTTAAGGCGTTGACAAAATTGCTTTTCTCTTACTAAAAAGGCGCCGAATGGGACATACGCCTATAGAAACGATGCGTTGAAAAAGAAAAACTAATCGCGGATGCCATGGTCATGATGCGTTACTGCACTTTACCAAGAAACGCTGCAAGAGGACATTGGCAGATGTGAAACACGTATTTTTAGAGTCATCAAAGTATGTGACCACGGCACAGCGGATAGCGGGCCCGACATTTATTGTCGCGGACCCAGAGGTCACGGGTTTCACGGAACTTTTTTCTTAACCTTCGGCGTCATTTCCGGGACGGAAATACGCCACTGAAACGCTGGTGGACCCCGGCCAAAAAAAACAAACACTTTCATGTTAAAAATTAGCTGTGGCTTATCTCAGTTGAGCCAGGGTATACGTAGCGTAAACAACGTACGAACGTACGAACGGACAGACATAGTGAATGAGCTCATGCAAGTCAAGCGCAAGACCTCTATAGTGTTCCGTCACTCCACGAGCTTGCAGGCCTTCTTCGGCCTGCGCCAGCTGTGCGTCGTGTGACGTCACTACTCCTCGCGCATGCGCAGCATGGCACTTGTACGTGCAAGCGAAAGCGCTTCGGCTCGGCCAGTGTATTTAACGCCACAAAAGCGATATACTCGGAAGGCGTAGCTTCTAGTTCCAGGACCTGAAGGCACTCTCACCCCCGTATTCACAAACGCTCCTCGACTCTACTTTCACCCTTCACTTGACAGGGCTGAGCACTGCGCCACAGCTCGGCTCAAAATGACGCTGCGCTACTCGAGAATCGCAGCACATTATCGCCGATATGCAGTGACTTGCCGTGCCTAGAGACGGCGCTCCGATCGGCTTTCTCAAGTGAAGGTGAAGTGTTCAGTGAAGGGACGTTCTAGAATACGGGGGTCAGTCTCCTTAATTCAAGCACTATAGGTCAAGAAAACGTGCACTAAGTGGCGGTGATTAAGAAGCACCACTTGCCTTTTCGCGGCAAAGTGTGCGACGACGCGCACCATCTCTCGGCTGAGCGCCCTGTCCACCTCGTGGAAGCGCTCGGGCATGCGCAGTGGCACCCCGCTCATGTACCAGAACGTGGAGCTGTGGGGAACGCCCATCCACTCGGGCACGTACAGGGACGACGTGGCGTAGCAGAATTTGTACACGAACACCGGATGCTTGGCCTTGGCGTGCCGCTCGGCGAAAAGCCTGCGCCGTGATAACTCGTGAGGACACTAGAAATAGCCCCTAAGCCACACTGTATAAGAAACATCCAGTAAAATGGGTATCTTTGTGTCCCACAGCTACATTCGTTATCCGGCTTGCCGGCGTCTCCTTTCTTGAAAACTCTGTAAAGGCAGCACGTAATGTGTGACGTCAGCGAATCCCAGGTCATCGAAACTTCCGTATAGCCCCCCCCCCCCCCCCCTATGGTGTCCCTTTTAATGAAATCATTGTTTGGGTCATAAAAGCCCAGATATTATCACGGGGCAAACGGACACCATTCCGTACTCCGTGGTACAGTATTGGTCGATCCACAGGAAGCTTGTCGACGATGAATTACCACAGTAGGGTTGACAGGCTGGCTAGTTGGTAGAAATTCATAATGGAATAATTGGAAGCGCAAACCAACGGGACACAAGAGAAGAGACAAACAAGCGCAGACTGAAACTCAGTTTATTCAGAGAAGAAGTTATATACCAGAAAGATGAGAAAGGGAAACAACTGGGGAGAAGGTGCCACCTTGATCAGGTGTCGTCCAGAAACGATATTTCAGAATCTAACAGTGATATAGAGGGTATATAGACGGTATAGCTTTCTGGTATATAACTTCTCTGAATAAACTGAGTTTCAGTCTGCGCTTGTTTGCCTCTTCTCTTGTGTCCCGTTGCTTTGCGCTTCCAATTATTCCATTATGAATTACTACCCCCTCGACAAAGTTTTTCTTCTTGTTCAGCTCGTCTCTGTATCACCAATTCCGTCAAAATTACCCGACCACCAGGGATTCAACGACAGCAAATGTATGCGCGCGGGAGCTGAGTTCATTCGTGGTTTGTGAAACATATTTCCAGTATTCCAAATGATATACAAGTGCACTGAAGTATGGAAACTTGAAGAGATGAGAGATTCTTGAAGTTCGGTGCAGGTCGAGCCACGTTTCGACAAGCAGTGCTGTCTTTATAAAAACTACCTTTCAGCTGTCAGGGTCGACTGTGAAGCGACAGGCAACTGAAGCAGCAACCGTCTCATATCTGTGTCATGAAAATGAAGCACCTGCTGACACAGAGCGCGATGACGTCACAGCTTGCCGCCTTCCAAATGTGCTCCGCGTAAACGGTCACGTCCACTACATCGAGGATAGCTCCCCTGATGGTCGATATTACAGAGAAGAGAACGAGCACCTGCAAGGACAGTGCAGCGCGGCGTCACCGAACACGTCAGCGACGAAGCGTCTCATGTCCTCCTGCTGCTGGCCTCTGGGACTGGCGGTTTTTTCATCCAGGTACGGTTGCATGGCAGGCAGGCCGGAGGGCAGCGGGATATTGTAAGTCTCCAGGAGTCCGCTCACCAGCTTCAGTGCCTCGCTGCGGTTGCTCACCCTGCACACCGGCAACCGCGCGTCACTCTTCGAGTAGGCCAAGAAACAACGGTGACTACCGGCTTTGTCGACTGTGTGCCGGACAAGTGGCAAAGGTTTCGGGACACTAACCGCAAAGGGACTGTTGGGTGGCGCTGTTGGGAGGCGTTGATCATACGCCAGTGAAAAACCTACAAGGTCTCTTATGCATTTCGCCAAGGACAACTCAGAAGTGAAAGACATCCCGAGCGACATGATCACGATTTGGGGACATTTGCACGTAGCGCCCCCTCTCATCGGTGATAGCCCAAGTCTGCCGTATCTGAATTGCAAATTGGCGAGAAAATCGTATTTTAAAATAAGTTAGTTATCAAGAACGACTCCGGGATCTATATAGCAAATGCCTACTGGAACATTTTGGCGAAGTTTAAGCATCGCACTACAACGCCCATGGCTTCCCAGACTGTACCATGGCGCCCCATGTATTTCCACTGGGCCGTGTTCAATTGTGCTGGCATGCCAAATGCTTTGTAGTGCCACCCTCGAATTTTACAAAAATATTTCATTAGCTCTGTACAGTATAGATCCGGGAGTCATTTTTTACAACTGGCTTAGTTCAAAACATATTTCTTTCATCTCTTTTCCATTTAAATATGGCAGGATACCGTAGCTGCTGCCGAGAAACGGGGCCACTTTCCGATGTCCCTAAATCTTGGGAATGTTTACAGTGCAATTTTTGTCGGCGTCAAACGTTCCACATTTAGCTCCTTGACCAGCGTTGGTAAGCTCAACACTCTCTAATTAGCCGATTACTTAGTATAACACAATAATCATATAATTTCCACTCACTGTTTTTCCAATGAAAAATTTACAATGAACAATAACTCTATTTTCCCTTTAATTTTTTTTATTACACGCGAAAGCTTCAGGCATTATCACGCCTTTCAAATTGTCCGCGCTGGTGGTGGTGCAGAACTACCGACCCAAAGGTCTCGAGATTTAATCTCGGTCGAAAGTTTCGCATAAAATTTGAACGATAATAATAATAAGAATATTTAAGATTTTACATGCCGAAGCCACGATAAGATTATGAGGATCGACGTGGTGCAAGGGCACCGGACATTCCGACCATCTGGTGTTTTGTAATGATGACTGACATAGGACAGTACACTGGCCTCTAGAATTTCTCCTACATCGAAATGTGACCTCCATGGCCGGAGTCGAAGCCGCGACCTTCGGGCGAAAAGCCAATTAGTTCACCCGCTATAGGACGGGTGCTGCAAGCATCACATTTATTCATGTGCGCCACCAAGCTCGCAAAAAAACGAGAAAAACACTATTTTAGGTTGACCTAATGCATTCTACACTTGAATTAAATCTATCTTGCTTTAGAAAAAAAATTTACAGCCCGACTTTTTTCCCACACTATTAATTATCTTCTTTCTTCCCACTTTACCGCCAGCGATACTTTAATCATCGCTTGCTTATTGCTATCGCGGACGTGTTTACCCTTCCGTTGTTGTGCACCTAAATAAGTATCTACACATTAAATTAGAACATTCTTCGTCGTTTCCTTAGGTTCTCCACAGCATGCGCCTTTTTCACCTTTACTGGAATCACTTTATAAGTAGCTGTTTCGAGGCAACCTAACCTCCTTGAAACTGCAAAGCGCTTCCCCTTGCACTAATATAAACTGCCTCCCTCCTTCCTTGTTACGTCTCTTTTTTGTCCTTGAAGTAATTACTTGCTCGGAGCCAGCTTCTCTCCCCTCCCCGCCCTTATCGCTGTCATCGAAAAATCCTCTTCACCTCTCCGAGTTTAAAACATAAGGTCTCTAGAGAGCATCGTAGCGCCACCTTCGCGGTGCAAGGACGCACGAACCTTGGCGGCTGCTCGAAGCACCGGTGTCCGACGAAAGGGCTACCCTCGTTGCTGGACGTGCCGATGAGCAGAGGCACCGGCAGGTACTTGGCCTTCCACGGAGACTTGGGAAAGAACGCGTTTCCGTACGTTGCCACGAAGGAGCTGAGAGAGCTGGACGCGACCCGCTCTTGCGCCCACAGCAGGTCTTCGGCCGGACGGCTGCGCAGGCAGGTCAGGACCTGAAAATGAACGGAGTAAGCTGCCGTCAGTCGCAGGCTTTGCTTTGCACCGTTGTCCGTAGACCTCACCCACCGTATGCTCCGCGTTGTCCGTATGAGTCAAGGTAAATCAGATAGAGAATGTACTTTATTAGTCTTTCTTGGGATACATTAACGCAAAAATTTTGGTCAGTCTGTGTTTTTATTGATGTCTGTTCAACTATTCAGCCACCCAGCGAACGTTTACGTTCGTGCTTACCGCCCACTCATCCTTATCTGATGGCTGCGTTCATACTTATAAACAATGTAAGTCAAAAAGCTACTATTACGCATATTTGAGGCGCAATATATATACGCAAGTGTAAGGCAGTGTGCCTATTTATTTAGAAAATGCATGGATAAGTAATTATATAGAGCGAAGTGTTTATTACGCTGCGCTGACGATGCGACGCTATGTTCGCTACACTTCGCTGAAAAATTCAGGAGCTTTAACTGAAACAATTTGGTGGTGCCGCTTACCAGTTGGTCTACGTTTTAAAGAAACTTTCGTTTCTTCACATTACTGCCAGATGGCGCCATATGTCACACAGCCCCTCCAGACAGAAATTATTGTTTTTCGACGTCCTTCGCAGCAAAGCACGGAAATACGCGGCCATTATTTTTTCCTCCTGCAGCTTAACCTCTTCGCATAAATCCTAATCGTCTTCTAATCTATGCATATATGAACAGAAAAATAATTGTTGGTACTCTACGTCCTCAAATCATCATATCATTTAAAGATGTCGGGTGTAGTCAAAGGCTCCAAAAATTTGAACAGCAGGGGCTCTAAGCACACGTGCCTACGCCATTATGCCTCAAGAGGAATGCGGGTGCCACGGCTGGAGTTGGATCCCATGATTGTCGAGGGTTGTGTATACGGGTTGGTTGTATTGCACGTGAAGAAGCATGAAATGTATAATCTCAGAATGAAGTTATGAACTCCAGACGTATTCAATAGTATACGAGTTGCGAAACTACCCATATGCTCCATGTATCGAAATCCCGACACGCCATTGGTCGAAACGGCGGGAATGCGTAGGTCGTCGCGTCACCTGTTGACCAGCAAACCAACTATTCAACGCATACTTTGTGTTTTGCGTTGTTGCTTCAAGATGGCGCGACAGTCAGGCTGCCGATTCTCGCAGGACGCCGAATTGCATGACTGGGTTTTTGGAGCGCAGTTTGGTAACTAATATGATCGAATAAGTCAGATGGACACTGCTACACACGCTACAAACCCCGCAGAACAAACTAATCGTTTTCTTTTTCTTCGAGGTTTTCCATTCCGTGTACGAGAGCAATATTACAAGGATGAACCGCTTGCCTTTACGGGCAGATTGCCGAGCTCCGCTCCCATTCGTGAGCAGCTGAGCAGACCAGCCAGGTGGTTGGCACGCTGCAGGCTTCGACGAGACGGCTCGACAAACGCGTCGCACAGGGGACCTCCTCCTTCCAAGATGGCGGCGTAAAAGAGGCTCCGGCTTTGGGGCGCCGCCATGTGGAGACCCGCCGACGCGGCGCCCGAACTCAGGCCCAGGAGTGTCACCTGTTGAGCATTAACGACAGATGGGAAATTTTAAGCGTGAATCAATTAGGCAGTCCGGGCTGTCGTCTCATGGCATCGCTCGGCGTAACGCTTAAAGCGCCAAACTTGATTCCAATATAAGTAAAAACAGAAGGCCAGTGCGTCACAAACAGGGGCTCCATTTTCGCCATGTACTGTCGGCCGCAAATGTTTTCGGTCTCGCATTATTGCCGTTGAAAAGTGCTGCTGCTGCGTGCGGTCGACGCTCACAGTTTCGCCGCAAGGGCGAAACAATGAATGCGATAGCAATAACTTGAAATGTACCACTGAGACGGCTAGCAAATCGAAACGAGCAGCGCGCTGCCCACGCTCAAATGGTGCACAAAAAACAACACACACAGGACGAGAGCTAACTAACTACGTTTACGACGCTTAACGCGCCGTTTAAACAAAAAAAAAATGACGCACGAAACGTAATCATAGGTACAGATTTGAGTGCGAACTAAAGAGTGTCCCGGTTACTTCGCTGTGTTTGAAAAGCGCGTTCTTTTCGCAAACGGGGCCTGCCCAGCGAGCGAAGTCGAGTTCTGTGGACCAGGCAACTAACGCAATCATTCCGGTGAAAGGTCAAGGCACACGATTCTCCCCACCGAAGGATAAGCGCGAGCACACAAGCACCTAACCCCTGCACACCCCCATGCGTGGGGCAAAGTACTCGTGAAAGACAAGCGTAGGAGATAAGTTGGCAAATCGCGAAAAGCTGGGTGCCGAGCACGGGCGGCTTTTTTTTTTTCCTGTAAATAAATGCGTATATATTTACGGTGCACGACGGCAGCTTTAGAGACGGTAAAAACCAGTCGAGACTATCCATATAACTTCTATCGCGCCCCGCCGCGGTGGTCTAGTGGCTAAGGCACTCGGCTGCTGACCCGCATGGCGCGGGTTCGAATCCCGGCTGCGGCGGCTGCATTTCCGATGGAGGCGGAAATGTCGTAGGCCCGTGTGCTCAGATTTGGGTGCACGTTAAAGAACCCCAGGAGGTCGAAATTTTCGGAGCCCTCCACTACGGCGTCTCTCAATCATGAAGTGGTTTTGGGACGTTAAACCCCACATATCAATCAATCAATCAACTTCTATCGCAATATAATTCATGCAGGCCGTATTGTCTACCGCAAAGCTTTGTGGGATCCGCAGCGTATGGTGGAACAAAAACTGCATCGCTGCTACACCTACAGTGACGCGGGGGGTGTTGAGGTGACGACAGCTATAGCGCTAGAACAGAACGACGACAAAGGGACACGAATGAGACGTGTCCCTTCATCGCCGTTCTGTTCTCGCGCTATAACTATCCTCATGTCATACCAACTAGCCCAAACCGCCACACTTCTAAGGGTTTTGAGGGTATCGGCTTGCCGATTAGTGACGGCGCATTCAGACAACACTATCTAGAAATCAGTATATTTCTAGACACTGCAGACAACACGCTCTTGCTGGATCGCGGCCAACACCCTCAGTATCCACTGCATGACAGTAGGTGACGCAGCCATGAAGTTTTTCGTAGTCCCAAGATAGATATGTTTTTTTTTTAAGTACCGTCTATCTTTCTACCGAACCACCACGCCCCGCGACCCCCTCTCCCGCTTCGCGGGCCAACAGTCGAAAAAGTTCATGAACTTCGCACGTGTTATCAGCGTGACATCGCATTTTTGACAGGAAAGTGGCGCGAGCCAAGTTATACGGTCAGCGCCTGCACGGCGGCCGTTTGGGAGAAGATATAGATAAGGTTTGTAGAGGGACTTTAGTTTTCCGTTACTCTAGAACGCGCTGCAGATACCGCAAAATTTTGCAGCCGACAGTACAGCATTTTTAACTATATCGCGCGACCGTCGACCACATGCAGTTTCGGAACTGTGAAACTCAAGATTGCACATTCTTCTCTCCCTCGTTGGCTGTTCCATGCTACAAGAATCACCCCTGCGACTACACCCTCTCTCTCTATTTTGGGCCCTCCATTTGTTGCGTTGCAATCAAGCGTATCCCTCGAGAGCTCTTATCCCCGCGGACAATAAAATTGCTGGGAGAAATGTATTAAAGCTGGTGCTTAGCACTGCTTCATTGAAACCTCTACGAACCGGAGTGATCACAACTTATGAAACAGCGCGAGTGAAGCCTGCATGAAAATGAGTATTCTGGAACGTGGCGCTGCTGTAGTTCTTGGCCGATGCTCCTGCGATAACGTTCAAATCGCTCGCGTTGTACCTTACAAGTCAATGGTACCTAACAAAGCAGTACTACCTTAACCTGCGAGACGGGCAGTAGTACCTCACACCGGCAGATAATCTGAGGTACCGGCAGAGACCGGCGATATACTTTAAAATGTTGCAGGCTGTACTCCGAGTAAGCTACACGTGCGGAACGCCAGCGCTTGCTCCGTCCATTAGCGCCAGTGCCACCAAAAGAGCCGCTGTTAGCCAGCGCCACTAATAGCCAAAGTGGCGAGTGTCGAAACACTTTCTGACACAATGTGCCATGTGTCATGAGTTATTTAGTGCGAGTAGGCAGCCCACCAGCGCGCTTTTAAATGCGGAGCATTTCTTAATCGCACGATGTCGTGTTTCGGCGCCGTCCGCACCACCACTGCACGTGCTCGCGTCTCATGGCGGCCCAAGACCCGCAAAACTGTTTCCCCCTCTCTCACTTCGCAAGACCGACGCAGACAGCATGTGCGAGTAAAAAAAACCGACTGCTCACGCTGCACAACCGTTCACTGTAGAGTTACTGTATACGCTTCCTAAAAGTAGCATATACAGTAACTATATAGTCCACTGGCCACCCCGTATATAAGTGGGCACTGAATCGCGCCATCAAGGGCGTCGTTACTTGGCTTTCGCAAGACGTTGAAGGCGACGCTTCTATACTTCATTCAAAAAATAGGCATCGTAAAGACGAAATAACAATTAGGCATTTCCAAACAATACTCAATTACGCAACATCCACGTGATACCGCCACCAGATCTGCGACGCATTTATTCGAGTTTCCCCCTGGGAAGCCACGGCGGGCGGCATTCTTTTTTAAACACGCACCCAAATGCAGGCAGCAGCTGGTGGTTTGTCCTCATTTGCTTTGTTTGCAAGTATTGCGCATCTACCCCGAATAAGAAAAAAAAACATTTCTGCTGTTTTATCGCTTTCACAGGCGCTATATGACACCAAGACAATGGCATTAGCACGCGTATTGTGCGCTGCACAGAACAAAAGCCCTACACTGGGCAATTTTAAAACACGAGAAGCACTATCGGTCAACCGGTCGGTAAGTTTTCTGGGAACGTCGACTTCAACTTTATCCCAATGCACGAGCGATGTCGGACAATAACAAGCCATGGTTTCATTACATCTAAGTGGTGTTCACTCGGCCTTTTGATGCCCATCTTTCACTTACTTTTGTTTGGCGTATTTCTTTTTCGCGTTATCATTGCTAGCGACTGATGGCACGCGATCAGCTGCCATTCCACAGCAACGATCATGGGGGAGTGCCAACAGTCAGCGGAAAAGCGCCCTCAACCCCCCCCCCCCCCCCCCCGCCGGTTCTGGAAGCGTCATCCACGAATCGCGTTATCTCGGTTTTGAGGCTATTTAGCCACGTGATCACGTGTTCAAGCTCCTTTTGCTCAAATCCATACGTCTCGTTTACTAAATCAGTTGACTGGGCTAGTTGGTTGTGCTTACTTTAAGGTTAACAGCGAAAAAAAAAAAACGCGGACAGAAAACATGTGGTCGCCTGCTTCCTGTCCATGGCCGTGCTTTTTTTTCGCGCTCTTAACCTCAAGTTTGGAATAAGACACGGCTGCTATACGGCTAACAAAGAAAAAAATGTAGGCGTGCTTAACACCAAAACGCGCATCACAGCACAGTTTACCTTTTCAGGATCCCCGCCGAACGCCTGAATGTTACGTCGCACCCACAGAAGCGCCATGCGTTGGTCCAGAAGACCCACGTTGCCGGGCGCATGCCTGTTCATGGCGTCCAGGAAGCCGAACACCCCGAGTCGGAAGTTCATCGACACCACGGTCACGTTGCCCAAAGCAGCCAGCGCCGAGCCGTCGTAGAGGAGGGAGCCGGTGTTGCCGATGCTGAACCCTCCGCCGTGCAGGATCACCACCACGGGCTTGAGGACAGCTCCGGAAGCGGCCTTACGGCAGAAGTCAAATCAGATTCGGCGCTATGCTTAGAGAGGAGCTAGCAACGCCGGACTAAGTTTATCTCTCGTCGGTCACTCTGTTACACAGTAGAGCTCTGGGTCTAAGCAAAATGCAGCTGACCGAGGCGACAAAAAAGAGCTGCGACCTCTTAAAAGTTGGGGTTTCATGCCACAAAACTATCTAGAGACAGCGTAGTGTATGGCTCCGATTATTTCTACCACCTTTGTTTTTTTAACGTGCACCTAAATCTGCGTACGAGCAAACGTGGCCTAACAACGAGATCGCGTGGTCGAATGGATCGAAGCGCCAGCTAGCGACGCGGTGCGCATGCGCGTCCCTTCGTATCAGGTGGCCTCTCATGTCGCTCTGTCTGACGGGGTTACGGCGGTAAAATCGCAACACGCGATGCTGCTGTTCATGAGCACACCGATAGCGAGATGGCCAAGCACGTTCCATTTCTCAAAGCAGGGGTGGCCGGCGGATCAGCGGAAATCAGCCCCATTGTGCTGTCAGCCCCTCTATCTCGAAAAACCCCTGTTCATTGCTTATCGGCAGATGTGGATATACACATTTTTGTTGTTGTTGTTGTTGTTGTTGTTGTTGTTGTTGTTGTTATGAGACTTGCGAGCAACCGTATCTTTATCGCAGTTGCTCCTAAAAGGGTGTTTGTCTGAGTGCTTTCCGCTGGCCACCCCTTCTTTGGAAAATGGAATGTGCTCGGCGATCCCACTACCGGTGTGCTTAAGAAAAGCGCAGCTTGTCCTAATTTTGCGCCTCTAGCCTCCACTCACTTGAGCTAATCTTTTTTCTGTTGAGATTGTACCTATCAGGTTCCAGTACCAGCTATAGCATATTCTTCACCCACGCTGTTCGTTTTACGATGCAGGAAGCCTACACTCCATCAAAAAAAAAAAACGATACTTAGGGATTGATTAATATTGATATGTGGGGTTTAACGTCCCAAAACCACCATATGATTATGAGAGACGCCGTAGCGGAGGGCTCCGGAGATTTCGACTACCTGGGGTTCTTTAACGTGCACCCAAATCTGAGCACACGGGCCTACAACATTTCCGCTTCCATCGGAAATGCAGCCGCCGCAGCCGGGATTCGGTCGCACGACCTGCGGGTAAGCAGCCGAGTACCTTAGCCACTAGACCACCACGGCGGGGCCAATACTTGGGGAGTATCACTTCGACACAAGTATAATTGCCATCTGGCTTGCTCGCCCTTTCTGTTTTGAAAACCTAACTCTGGCCCCTTTTCTATCAAAATGCTATGACATGCTGACATAGTGCGTTCGTAACAGTGCAGTGCCGGGACAGCGGTAATAATGCAAGGAAAGTACGCGAGGTGGATGACAATCGTGTATAGTTGTGAGGCAGAAATACTCTCCAAATACTCATTTTCTTTATGTACCTACGCACACCTACACATTTCTTTTTATGAGAGTGTATCAAGAGTGGATTTATGCCCCACTACGACATTGGTCATCTGGCTTGATTGTGGTTCCTTTTTTGAAAACTCGCTTCTAGACAATTTCTCATTAACACTGTTGTGTCAAGCCGATATAGTGCATACGCCTTTCCCGATTGGAACGTACGAGGAGCCCAACGATAACGCATGAAAACACGCAGAATTGATGAAGATGACGACCGATAACGTACGAACGTCGACAGTAAGCGCCACATACCGTTAATATATTGAATATATATAAGTCGGATGCGCGGAAGCCCCGCCATGTCTTTCAACGTTTCAACTGGTCGCAATTGAGTGTCTCTCGTCCCTTTTTTTTTTTTTGTGGCACATATATATGCGCAAGTGACGGCAATAAAGATCAGTTGTTAGTCAACGCTATTTGTCTCTCTGTCTCTTTTTTTTCCCTGAAGTCATTGCGCTGCCCTTTTGAAATGAGTACTATATGAACCAGCTATAGCCCAAACCAAAGTACTTCTCGTACTCCGAAAAGTGCTAGCACTTCACGTGGAACTTCAGCTAAAGTAGCTAAGGCCCCTCGTAGCCACCACAACAATGCTTCGGGCAGCAAGATGGCAAGTTGGGCCAGTTGGATTACGGTTCATCATTGAAATTTTGCTGAAGCGCACCGAAAACACATGTACAGAAAAGGCTGACAAGGACTGTGCCTACTCTCATAACTGAAATTTATTCATCACTCTGACTAAACTTATTGCACATCCACAACGAACCACGTATCCGCTTGAAAATACTTTTTTTCTTATTAATACATTTCAGTTTCGAGAGTAAGCAGTGTCCTTCTCTTCTGTCCGTGTGTTTTCGGTGCACTTCGACAAAATTCCAATCAATTCGTGCGTGCGACTAGTGCGGATCAAGTGTTTTGTAGCGTGACGCGTGTGATGGGCGTGTGTTGGATCAGATAAACACTTTTAACTGGACGGTTCGAACCAAATCCGGGACACATAGCTGTCCCGTCAGGAACGGCGCCATACTCGGGACGTTGTATTAAATGTCGGGGAAGTCCCGCATGATATGGAACGGTTGGCAACCCTTAGCACCAACCACATCCATCAATGGCACACCTAGAGAGACGGACATTCCATCCAATTATGTTTTCTCATTTCAGTGACGTCAAACACTTTCAGCGTATTTTGGATAGTTGATCTGTGGCGATTTCGATAGATGATAGTCGACATAAGCATAGCAAAAGCCCTTGCTATTCCTGAGAAAACCAGCTTGCTCTACTTTCTTAAATGAGTGATTAACAAGCGCGTCGCGATTTGGCGGGCAGAGCTTGCATTCATTCTTAGGTTGTATGAGACGATACACCTCGTATACACCTTTTCACAGGAAGCAAAAAAAAACACCGCCATGATGGGCTGTGCGCGGGAGTACAAAGGCTAAGGGCGCAGCGTTGTCAGTGCATTTTCGAGGGGACGCGCCAACTCGCACAGCCCAAGGAGGGCTATGGCGGCGCCCAGGGAGGCGTTTATGAAAAAGGTGAATATGCCCTGCACCTTGTCTTGGTCAGGCACGGCCGTCCACACGTTCAGGTAGAGGCAGTCCTCGGAGGCGTTCTGCAGCATCTTCAGGTGCACGGGGTAGTGAACCTCTTCGAGACGCTGCATGCAGGGCCCCTGGAAGCGCCGCGCGCTCCACACGTGGCGCCACGGCGTCGCGGCCACCGGCGGCAGAAACCGAAGTCGCCCCAGCGGAGGCCGGGCGTACGGCACTCCGTAGAAGGCGTGCAGCGGTCGACCTTCGAAGGAGGTGTGCACTCCGAGCACACGGCCTTCGCGGGTGAGAACCAGCGGCGCAGGTGGCCGGGCCGCTACGCCATCGGCGCCTTGGGCCGCCGCCGAGGCGACCAGCGAGAGGACGGCCCAGCCCAGCAGGGCAGCTGCCATCATCGCAGGCCGCATGGCGCGACAACGCCGCGCGGGGCTGTAACACTTGCCGATGTTGTTGTTGCTTCCCTCGCCCAAGTGGCTCACACCCACTACGGCCGATCCTCGGATGAATGAAGAAAGAACGAGTGTATAAATTAGGTTTCGCCTACGTGTCTCAGAAAACTAATATATTCAATCAAACCGTTCACAAAGCGTGTTATTTGTGGCGCGAATCCTGGAGCATGAAGACGGGAATGAAAGATAGATGATATAGGACTTGCCAAAGCTCACGGGCATCTTGTAGACTCCAATGTCTCCGATCCTGGACCCACTGCAATACCTCGTCTAGTGCGAGTGAAATAACTTTATTTTGTCTACAATAGACGCGAGTTAACACAGCGCCGCCTAGCTATGCCCACTCGGGCACGGTCTGTCAGGTCAAACCTGACAGCCCTCGCGCGGGCCCTCTGGACGGCCAGGATATGAGAGGTGAGGTCCTTGGTGAGCTTTCGGGAGAGGGGGGAACAGGCAGTTTCAATAATATCTGTTGTTTGACGTCCCAAAACCACGATATGATTACGAGAGACGCCGTAGTAGAGGGCTTCAGAAATTTCGACCACTTGGGGTTCTTTAGAGTGCACTGACATCGCACAGCCAACGGGCATCCGCCATTTCCCCTCCACCGATATGCGCCCGCCACGGACGGAATCGAACCCTCGACCTTCGGGTCAGCAGCAGAGGACTGCAGCCACTGATCCCCCGCGGCGGAAGGGTGGTTCAGTACATCAACCAAGAATAAAAAACGATGGCTTATGTTGTGAGAGCGAGTACACCAGACGTCCACGGCCAGTGCTTGCGTCCGTGCTTCTGTCCGCCCATCCGGACGCACGGACAGATGGACACACGGACGTACTGACGCTTCGCCCCACCCATCATCATTCACTCCGTGGATATGCTCTGGTTTTTTTTTAACAGCGAATCTGTCTAACCTGACGTAATATTTATGCTTTATCACGATTCACCGACTCAACACTGAACCACTCGTAAACGGGTATGTGCCACAAAAATTGAATACTCCCCCCCCCCCCCCGTCGCCCCCTGACCACTGGTCTTCTAAAAAGCTTTTCACGACCTTGGGTACGACTTTGCTGTGTGATAAGTCATTATCGTCTTCACTATATGGAGATGCCGAGTCAGTTATTCATCTGACAAAGCTACAGTCGCGCCCCACCACGGTGGTGTATAGTGCCTAAGGTACTCGGCTGCTGACCCGCAGGTCGCGGCATCAAATCCCGACTGAGGCGGCTGCATTTTCGATGGACGCGGAAATGCTGTAGGCCCGCGTGGTTAGATTTTGGTGCACGTTAAAGAACCCCAGGTGGTCGAAATTTCCGGAGCCCTCCACTACGGCATAATCGAATGGTAGTTTGGGGATGTTAAACCCCACAAATGGATCAAATTCGTAGTCACTTGTTAATGCAACACAAGCCGAGACATCGAAAGAGGTGCAATGGCAAGAAATGCTTGTGACTGAAGACAAAACCATGGTCAAAGCATTTCATTATAGCAGCAACGAGCTCAAAACTAGAGGAAATTTTTCTGAGTATGACCACAATGAGTGCGATGACTACAATCAGTAAGCCCGACTTCTCGTTAATTATTGCTGTCTATCTCGTACATACTTGGGGTAATTCTCAGTCAAACCATTCGGCCGGGTACAATGCCTGAATTCAACGTCACAGCACTTGCCTAGCATCATAACGCTTGACTAACGTCCTAGTAGTTGATTGCAACTTTGCTGTAATGTAAAAATACTTGGTTGAACTTGGCTACAACGTCGCAGCACCTAGATAAAGTGCGGCAACAATCTGCAAGCAACCTAGAATCAGCCCTCATAACATAGTTGCTGTCCAAAGAAACGTCGAGCGGCGCCACTGGGAATAACTGGGAATATGACCGGCGCTTCTTTCGTCCTTTCGCCACGACACCGTCACAACAGCTTCCGCACACGCACAGTGCTCTAACTACGCTTAGCGTGTCACTATATGTAACTGTCTAGCAGTGCTCCGGGCCGAATAAAATGCGCATGCACGCACGTTTTCTTGCCGCTGCCACCGCTACCGAATCCGACGACAAACCGCCTTCGCGGGCAGTGTATATACCCATGCAGTAACGCATTGCTCTTGAGCAAACTTGAGCTTGGGTTCCCTATAGAAAGAACCTATAAGCAACCGGATCAGTATTCGGAATAACCTGGTCGCTGTTTCAATGCTTGCACAGCTTAGTGCAAGCCTCGCCGATTTTTCAAAGTTATTGTTATGTCCTTTTTTAGGTGTGGTTCAGTGCCAAGTATCATCATCATCAAAATTAGCACGAGCAAGTCTGTAAGGAGAAAAAAAAACGAGAACAAGGCGTAGGCGCGTGGAAGGAGGTCGCACAACGTCGTCCATCGAAGGAGGCGGAAGCAGCAGCAGCCATGTCGTCGGCGACGTCGAGCGAGACGTACCTGCACTCGCACAGCATCACACACACGTGGACGGTGCACAACTGCGGCAAACTGCGGCTGCGCAACAAGGTCTCGCTCTGCAGCTCGCCCTTCCCGGCCCAGTGGGACGAGCCGCGCTTCCAGATATGGCTCACCACGGACGTCGACTACTACGGCTACGAGACGGCGTCGTGCTTCATCGAAACCAAGAGCACACTGCAGGTACGTGGGCTAAACCATTCATCATGCCTACTTTATAGCTTCCCACAAAGCGCAATAACTTTCCTCCGTTTTCGTGTCGAGTCCAATTCCATGAATACTTTCTTAGTGTTCGGAACGCGAAGATAACCTGCGCCGTCACTAAGTCGAGTAGAAGCCCCTCCTTCTCCACAACGCATATTGCGCCACCTACGCAAGATCGAGCCAAAGAACAAAGCAGCGTGTTCGGTTACATACAACAAGAGCTTCAAACTCGTCTCAACTAACGGGCCGCTAACTATGAGAGACGCCATAGTAGATGGCCCTAGAAATTTCAACCGCCAGGGGTTCTTTAACGTGCACCTAAATCTAAGAACGCAAGTATCAAGCGTTTTCGCCTTCATCGACGATGTGGTCGCCGCGGCCGATTCGGTCCCACGACATTTGGGTCAGCAGTCGAACCCCATTACTACTAGACAATGGTGCGGGTCACGAAATTTAGTACCGTAAGCGTGAAGAATGTTGGAGTGGGGTGTCATTTAACGTTGCCATCCACGCACAATGTTCTCCACAGAGGGGAGATTTTCTCTCAGTCCCACCACCCCTCTTCAGTTAAATCAAACACATGCTCCGCAATATATGAAAACCAAAATAAAAAAAAAATGAAGCGGTGACGTGCTTCATCAATGGTCTGCCTCTGATCCCTGGCTTTCGTGAGGTAAAGCTGGATTGCAGCATCAGGGGCCTTCAGCCGCCATTGTCACCCAAAACGTAAATGGTTGCAGCTGACTGTGCATGCACGGTTAGTTTGAGCCCTCCCCCCCATACCCCGTATAAATAGGGGGAGGGTACATCTTATACCGCCGTTAAGAGTCAAGAAGAGAGCAGAGTGGATTAGGGAACAGACGGGAGTTAAGGATATCATAGTTGAAATCAAGAAGAGGAAATGGACATGGGCCGGGCATGTAGCGCGTAGACAGGATAACCGCTGGTCATTAAGGGTAACTAACTGGATTCCCAGAGAAGGCAAGCGGGTTAGGGGGAGACAGAAGGGTAAGTGGGCAGATGCGATTAAGAAGTTTGCGGGTATAAATTGGCAGCAGCGAGCACAGGACCGGGTTAACTGGCGGAACATGGGAGAGGCCTTTGTCCTGCAGTGGACGTAGTCAGGCTGATGATGATGATGATGACATCTAATGCATTCCACGCTGGCGAACGTCAGTTCGCTTACGTTGTGCTCCTCATGCCACGCTCTCGGTAAGCCCAATGCCTACTTATCACTGCCCAGGGCTCGTACTCCCTCGCACTCAGGGACCCCTCGGGACGGGACATCGCGCAAGTCACGTGCAACACCAAGACGGCTGCGCGCATCACTTGCGAAAAGAAGTGCCTTCTGGGCCTGAACGGGAGCTCGGCCAGCAGCGCCTCGGTGGCGTCCGCTGCCTGCGCCGGTGACGATAACGACCGCTATGCGCTCGTCGTACTCTTCAGGTAAGTCTGGCACTAGGTATCGGCTGCGAATCGGTACATGGTGAGCACTCCTCCCTCACATCAGCCTCCAACCTACACGCAGCTAAGGAACACGATTGTTTTTCAGGTGGCTTCGATTGCCTATACTGGTGTATGTTACGAAAACGAAACACGCATATGCTGCTTTAAAAATGAAAATAAAACGCGTTTTAGTCTTAGAGTAGCCGCCCTCTAAACAATAACGCTTAGGATGTCGACATCTAATTACATATTTTCGGACAAGAAAACACTGACTGTGTTATAGTTCGTATACTGCATATCTATTTTTTAGGTGAAAAGAAACACGAGGGCACAACAGAAGACACGAGGACGGAGCGCTTCTAGCGATTGCGGTTTATTGCGTACAAGTACCAACGTAAGTGTACCGTCCACAGCAAATGTTTGCGAGATGGGCAGCGCGTGTCGGAGTGGCGGAAAACTACGTTGCTGCGCCGCCTATTGTGACGTGAACCATGCTGTTGAGATTATCGGCCACGGCTTCCGAGATTAGACCCAACAGTGGTGCACTGTCTAATGGTATGACGGTACGGTAGATAGAGCGCGAGAGCAGAACGATGACAAAGAGACAAGGAGGAGACGAGCGCTAACGTCTCCTTCTTGTCCCTTTGCCGTCGTTCTGTTCTCGCGCTATATCTGCCGTCATGTCATACCAACTAGCCTAAAGGGTCACACTTCTAAGTTGCGTTGTCTAAACGCGCCGTTGCCAATCACAGAGGCCCCGTACGGCCTCGACACCACGCCGCGTCACCCTAGACGTCGCAGCAATTTAGTTTTGCGTTGCTCCGCCACGCGCCGCACATGCCGCAAACTTTTGCTGTCGAGTGTACATGAAGGAAGAAAGGGGTGTGAGCCACCATAACTGCGCATATCGCTTTACACCAACAGCACCACCACTGTCGCTACAAGGAATCCATAGCTTTGTCAATTATTCCAATGAATTTCGTATCTTGGCGACATTGTCCCAACAAAATTTCCTGAAATTGTTTCACCCTTCCGCTGGAATGTGCCTCGCATTCAACGTTTTCGGAAACTACGCGGAAAAAGTGAACGTTGCATGGTTAAAAAAAAATAAACGTACACTCTTGGACGTGGAAGCTCGGTCGTGCATCTTTCTTTCTCCGGTGTCTTTTAGACCCCGAAGCATGGTTTGCTTACAAAGTCTGATAGCCTCAGATGTATTTCTTTTTGGCGATAATGAACCACATGGGATCGAGCAGATGTCATTTATATATATTACTCAGCAACGTCCAGTGTCGCAACTTCAAGGTGGCGTCGCCACCCGTATTTTCTTGCGTGTTCTTTCGCTTATTAATCACCTTGCCGCGGGAAGTTCTGTGATATCCAAATTATGCAAAGGTAATTTGCTAATATAGAAACAAACAGATTTTTTCTCTTTATTATATATTTATTTAAAAAACGTGAATGAAAAGTTCGTGAAAATAAAGGCAACATCTCGCGCCTTAGAGTGTAAACTCACCAAGGCCATCGCGGTGCATGGTCGTAGGTTCGAGTACATGACGGATCGCAGCGGAGGCCAGGACGAGTGCCCGGGAAGCCCTCTGCTGGGCCAGCTGCCCGGTCTTCTGGAGAGCTCCAGTTTCGGCGACGTCGAGATACGCGTCGGCCAGAAGAAACTGCGAGCCCACGCAGACTTGCTGGGACGGCTGTCGCCCGTGTTCTCCGCCATGCTCACCGGCGAAACCAGCGAGGCCGTCAACCGCGTTGTGGTCATCGAGGACCTCTCCTACGACGCCGTCCGGCAGCTGCTCGAGTTCCTCTACGCCGGCACGCTAAGTGGACTCAGCCAGGTGCGCAGTACGGGAACAGCGCTATGTACAGTGTCAATCTTTATGAAAGGGAACACGGGAGCGCGTGGCCTGCGCGCTCCAGCGGCTGCTGGCAGCGCATTCAAGCGGGAGCGAGAGCAACCACAGTCGATTTTCGCGTCATCTCGCGGGGAGCAAAACAACCATTCGTTGCTGATATAGAACGGCAAGATTACAACCCCCTCCCCCTTGAAGGCAATTACGTGAGAGGCGGTAATCGCCTTGAAGGAGAGAAGAGGTGTGTTATCTAGAATGCGCTATTTGTCATATTATAGACGGATTAGGGTGCCATTTCTGAAATAAATTCCTTAGAACTTCGCGCTCCTGGTGTTCTTTTAATGTGTATTGTGTTTTTTGTTGTTGTGTTCTGTCGTTTTTCTCGAACATCCAGTAGTGAGCCCTGGTATCAGCATCATTACAAAAAAATGTCGCAAAGTTCCTTGCGCACTTGCTTAAGAGTGCTCTAATCTGTAAGCAATCTTCTTTTTCTTCTCAGTCAATTCTTTTAGTTCTCCCCACCCCTCTTCGGAAGCGTTCTGCACATCGGCAGGTTTTACACAGCCTCCGTGACCAGCCCACTTTTGACCTTGCAGAAATACATAGACTAACTACGTAACGTAATGAAGTAATGGTGAGACGTCTCGTTAGTGATGTCATAGTGACCTCGTGATTGGTCAAGGTGATCATAGGAATGCGCACAGGGAAGGGCGCGGTCAGGACGAAGCCTGCTTCATACACTTGACATGACAGCTACGACTCGGAAGTGCATGGGGAGGGGGGACGCAAAGTTAGCCCCATACATTGACACAGAAGAAAAAGATGGCGCTGCGACAAACCATCGCCACCCACCCCCCGCCCTAAAAGGAAACCCTGCCCACGCCTATGATCGTCATGACGTCATGTGGTGACTTCACGTCATTGACGATTTCTACGCATCGCTCGTGCTGACGCCAATGGTCACATCGATTTTAACAGTGTGGGTTCGAGCCAGTTCGTACTCGATGATAACTTCTTGTGCAGTTTTTTTTTTCCGACAACAGACGAAACACAGAAGGGCGCAAACTTCCAACTTAATTTATTATGAAAACAAGGCACATGTCTGTATGACAAACTCAATCATCGATATCACAGATGCCTAGTATGACAGCGTATATTACCTACTCCCTCCCCCAGATGTAATGCTCTTTGCAAGAAGGCCATATTTGTTTCTGTCAAAGAAATTGACGTCGCGTTGAGGTTGATGAGGCATTTGCATGAGTCTCTCGTCTTAGTGAAATCATTCCACGGTAGTAGTAGTAAACAACTTTATTAAGGCAGCTGACGGTTTCCTAAGTGGCGAGGGCTGTCAGGCAATGCCTGGTCACCACCTTGTCAGCGTGTTTGATGGCCCGTAGCTGGGTGTCTATGCAGGCTTCTGGTAGAGAGAGAGAAAGAAACAACTTTATAACTCATCTTAGGGAAAAGGAGCTGCGAGAAGACGAGAGATCCTACTCCCGGTAGGCCTCTTTTACCACCTCAGCCCACCTTAGGATAGCCTCCTGAAGGTCGGTGTTGTAGCTGCGCATGGCAGCCTCCCACAGCTCCTGACTACTTATTTGTTTACGATGGCATGGGAGAGAGGAGTGATTTCGACATTGCCATATAATGTGGTTAAGGTCCGCTTTCCTTACCGTACGAAACTTGCAGTCTGAATTAGGGTAAATTCCAGGATAAATTTTGTGGCGTAAGGTAGGGGAGAGAAGAGTTCAGATTTGTAGTTCACGCCAGAGAACCTCACGCCTGTGGGAGAACTGACGCTGTAGAGGCGGTAGGGTTCGGCGACCGAGGCGATGGTGCCCGCAAATGTCATTGTGTGTAAGTAATCTTTCTCTAGATGTACATGCAATAGGTAAATCGTTGGTAGACATCGTCGTTTCCCGTTTCACTGCAGAACGCGGTGGACCTGTACGTGGCGGCGGACAAGTACGGCGTGGCGTCGGTGAAGTCCGCGTGCGCGCGCCAGCTGTCCAACGCGTTGGCGCCGGACAATGCGGTTCGCGTCTTTGAGCTGGCCGTACGACACAGCGACAAGGACCTGTGCCGGGATGCGGCGCGCTTCATCGACGCCCACCTGCCCGAGGTGCAGGCGTCCGACGCCTGGGAACAGCTGCTGCGCGACGACCTGATGGCGCTGGCGCTCTTCAAGTCCGCCTCCCGGTACCAGCCCAAGCAGGGACAGGGCGTCTCTTCCGCCTCGAGCTCGACCACGGCCGTCTGACGAGGCCGTTAGGGCTGCTGCTGCCGCCATCACCGCCATAGCTCTCTTGAAACAATATAAAAAGCGTCCTTTCTTCGTCTCTAAGATTAAAAGAAAATTACACCATGTCTCCTCACTGAATGGAACCAGGCGAAGATGCGAAGCAGCGCTGGTATTTACTTCTGTTTCTATTTGTTGCGAACTTCGTTTAAAGCGCAACTTTAGCCCCGCCGCGGAGGTCTAGTGGCTAAGGTACTCGGCTGCTGACCCGCAGGTCGCGGCTTCATATCCCGGCTGCGGCGGCTGCATTTCCGATGGAGGCGGAAATGTTGTAGGCCCGTGTGCTCAGATTTGGGTGCACGTTAAAGAACCCCAGGTGGTCAAAATTTCCGGAGCCCTCCACTACAGCGTCTCTCATAATCATATGGTGGTTTTGGGACATTAAACCCCACAAATCAATCAATAAATAAAGCGCAACTTTAGAAAAACAGATACAAAAAACTGCCAAGCATTCCCCGAGGGTGAACATGGTTAAGTGCGAATACACGGGGTGATGCTATGAGGGGTATTTATTAATTCGCACTATTATATTTATTAATCACACTATGGTGCCTTTATGGCGTAATGGTTCCTGGGAATCGCAATTTGATCACATGGGGGAGTTTACGTTAACTCACTGGCGAATGCCAACGGATCTTAACTTTACTCCCCCTCACGACCCGCTCTCGACGGGAGACTGAGAGAGAAGGCGGGCGCGCGAGAGAGAGGGGTGCGGGCGCAGCTGCAGCGAGCGAGGAGAGCGGAGGAGTCAGCGAAGGGGGAGGGGGTATAAGGCGCGTTACTGACACCGATATCAGCGTCGCGTCCATGGCTTATTCGGTAGAGCATCGCGCTAATTGGTCCCAGCATTTGAAGAAACAAGACTATATTTACATTAATTACACACAGCAGTTCAAGAACAGTCCATAGCGGACGCTTTATACTGTGTCGTATTGACTACGTTGCTGCTTATCTCCATTAGTACCGTGCAGAACAAAACAAACTTTATACCCTTTTACGAGGGGTTAACAGGCATGCCGGAGTGCCATGTGCGTTTTCCAAATACTGTGAAGGCCGAGCAACATAAGTATCATAAGGTGCTCAATCGTCTTCTTCGATGGTAAAAACTTGATCCCGTAGGCATCTAGCGGTAAACCTCTGGAGAATGTGCCGAAAGAACACCCTTTCCCAACAATCATGAAATGACATGTTCAATGGTTCCAGGTTTACGACAGAGAAAACGGTGCGTTCCCCACGGTACAAACAGACCCCTTTCTCGCATCCACGTTTTAACTTGTAGAGTGTCTGTATGGAGCTTAAATAGTAATGACTTTGAACTAGATGGGACAGGCATTTTTTTTACTCGGGCCAGTACATATTGGTCATGTCCAGCAGGATACAAACTCATGTATTGTGGTACCGGTAAAACAAGGTAGAGAAGGTCTCAATGACATTTTTCGTTTTACTCCCGCTAAATGCTCGCTAGAAAAAAGATAGAATCTCTGCCATCGACGCAGCATATTTTTATAAAGGCGTCTAGTGGCCCATGTGGTAAAGAGCACCAGACCGTCAAAAATTCTGCAGTTGCCCATTGCGGCGTGCCTCAGACGTACCGCTGTTTAGGGGCATAAAAGCCCAACTGATTACCATACACATTGTATCGCTGTTTAGGGGCATAAAAGCCAAGTGAGAACCATACACATCAACGACAATGGCGGGTGATGTGTTGAGCGACGCCACAGAAGAGGCAGCAGGCTTGTTGTTCAACAAGTAAATATGCAATCTGTAATTATTTGCTACTTCATGGTCGACGCTGGGGTCAAAAGGAAGCAGCACTGAAATGAACATGTGTTATGGGAAGGCGCCATTTACGCTATATGTCGTATATAGCGATGTCCAGACTTGATGAATCTGTCTCACGGGTTGAACATGCAGGTTTGCAGTTCAAGCGTTACCACTGCATTGCGATAAGCTGCGTTGTATACACATCGCGTTAGAGACAAGTTTGTGTGCGTGTGTGCGTGCGTGCGTGCGTGCGTGCACCCCGCCCCGCCCCTCTGGTTTGTTCTCGAAACGAAACGCGGACCTTCGTTGGTCAGTGTGCCCACATGGCACACTACCAACAGGCACGTAGCCCGGAAAAAATAATCCTGGCTCCACGCCCGGCATACTAAGACGTCCGGCAGGGTCGATTAGAAGTCGTGCAGAAAATCTTGAAATGGCAAGAAAGGAGGGACAAAAACATCAAGAGAAAAGGCAGGAAGGTGACCCATGCAGGCACATGCCCGGTTCGCAACCCTCCGCTGGGGGAATAGGAAAGGAGAATATAAAGATGATAGAAAGAGGAAAGAGAAGAGAAAGAGAAAAACAATTCAGTAAATGGGCTGACGCGTATGCAGCAGTGACACTACATAAAAGTTAAAGGCGTTCATATAGGCCTGTAGTACTGCAGCGGATCGAAATGACATGGGGTACGAAACACCACGCACCTATCGAATGTCGGGGCTTAGTAATCTGTGATCTTAAGTCAACTCCGTTTTTTATGGTTCATGATTCTTTATCACAGGCCAAAATATTTACCTCAACGTAAAAATGGATTGATAAAGAGCGCCATGGTTACATGACCCACTTTGAAAACGACCCGTGGTAAACACCCTCGAGTATGGTTGTTTACGCTGGAGATTTTTTTTTTTTTGGAAAGGAGTGCTACTCCAAAAGCGGCGTCATATTGTGCCGCTTGACAGAACAAGGCCGCTAATACCAAACGCCCGACGGTTCTTCGCATATCGCAGTCGTAACACGCTTTAGGAGTCGCATTATAAATTTAGCTGTGCGATAAGAGTGAAATTAATGGGTGTCTGGCTTTCAGAACTTGAACGTAACACCAAAGCACCAGGAATAGACGCAATTTTCGACATTTAATGATGTTGAGGCACTATGGTTCATAGTCACACTGGGGCACACGGCACGAATTATACGCGCAAAATTGAAAAAAAAGCAATATTTCGAAATATTACAAGATATAAAAATTAAAAGGAAACAAAATATATAGACTCATGACGCAGTGCTCAATAAGAGCTCGCTGTGTACCTACAGAAAACTATGTTCAGTGCTTACATTTACAGCTCAGGCCCACAAGTCGAGGGATCGAATCTTAGCTGCGGCGACCACAATTTTGGAGGAGGTGAAAATGCTTGAGCCTCGTGTTAGATTTAAGTGTACGTTAATGAACACCTGGTGGACAAAATTTCCAAAGCCCTCGACTACCACGTCTCTCATAATCATACTGCTAGCAATATTGGGACGTTAAACCCCCACATTATTATCATAATTTTATACCACAAGTTCCTCCGAGGTCACAACAGCAGTCTGGTGGGTAGTTTAAAGCTGTCCGCTCATCACAGAGCGTCCAACCATTTTAATCATCATTATGATCATCGTACGCATCAGTACCTACATTGTAAACGTATAATGCAGATACGTCATGATGCCGCACATACGCGTACTGATCACTTTGCAAGACGATTATTTATGGCGTTGTGGGTACTTTGCGACTTTACTTAGTCGGTGCCCCGAGAATGCTTACAACGGGCTCCAAGGAGAGCTCCCTGCTCCGCTATGGTCCATTAAATAGTTAATGGGTGCCATAACTAGCCTAGCATGTATGAGCCAAGCAGCTCTTAGCGGGCATGTGCCAGATGAATCGGGTAAGCCCCACTACACCCCTCCACTAAGAATTGAATTTGGTATGTAGAACTAGCCTAGCAGGTACGTGCCATAGGACTTGGGCGAGCCCCACTACTAGTGAATCCGTTTTAATTCATAGTGCGGAGTTATTGCGGTTACCCACTTGAAATTACTAAACAAAACGTCAGTCACGGTGTATCTCCTAAAGAGAGTATCTCTAGTGCGCCAACTCTCTATTGGCCTCTTCTGTGGTGGGTGATCCTTCCAAGCCGCAACAGTGCTGCACCACGTGGACGCCAATGAGACCCGTCAGCACGTCTACCATGGTTGCCAGGCGGCTACTGCGAAACGACAAAGCAGACGCGCAGACATTTCACCCGTCGAAGTGGTCTAGCGGTTATGATAGTTAAAAGCTCACCGACGGGTTATACGGATCCATTACGGGCCACAGTGACCACATTTCGACGAGTGCAAAATACTAGAGACCCATCTGTCTAGACTTATCCATAGGTGCACATTAAAAAAAAAAACAGTTGGTCGAAATTTTTGGAGCCCTCTACTACGGCATTCCTGATAATCATATGGTGATTTAGTGACATAAAGCCCTCAATAATTACTATTATTGTATACTATGATTAAAGAAAGGCATACAGAAGAGGTCACAAAGTAACTGTAGCGTCAGACTTCCCGACAGCTGCCCTTGTGCACGAGTTCAATGTCCGTGCAACGATTTGAGAGGTTACCGCTCAAACGTGTATTTTCGAAATGTACGCATCTGTACGACACGAGCGCGAGTACAGAAAAGCGATGCACCAGTCCCTGCAAACTGAACTGAGCAGGCCACACCGACTTCTATAACTGTGAAAACAATTTTACGTGTCGGAATACGTAAGCAGAAATCCAGTTTACAGTTCATGCATCGAAATTTCATGATGTTCATTCTCGCAAAAAAAACAAAAACAACTAAGGGCTCTCACTCATTCCTAAATATAGGATTACCGTTAGCTTGGAGTCATCGTGAAGTGAAACGTTCGTCTTATTTCCACCCGTTCTTCGTAAGCATTGTTCCTCGGCAACGTTCCAAGCACACTCACTTTTTTCCAAAACGTGCACCTATAAGCACGTCCCCACAGATGCACAAGAAACCGTAGTAGAAATCTCAGTTGCCAACGTTGTGCTGCACTGAAGGAAATCATGTCTGTCAAAGCTTAAAAGGAATAGTGACAGAAAATTTCTCAATCGTTCCTTTTGATGAGTGCTGAGCGCGAGTAAACCCCGGAAATTTTTATTCGCTTGTTTCTAAAGACTAGTTTTGGTTTCCACTCTACTATGATCGCACCCTGACGTACTGCAGTAGTTCTGAGCCTCTCTTCACGTGCTCGCGTTTCCACGGTCGCATCCGCCCGGCTCTCTTGATGACGCACGAGCAGTCATATTGAAAGTTTTTTTTTTTACATGACGTTTCCGCAACTGGTCATACTGGTGCCTCAGGGTACCAGACAGTACTGTGGCATGACGACACGCTCGGTGTCGATGTCAGTGAATTCGCAATGTGAACATTAAAATTAAAAGCAAAATAAAGTATCCTACGAGCACTAACGTATCTCCACACTTCCTCAGAAGCGTATCAGTGACGTAGCCAGGGGGTGGCACATCAGGCCCATGCCCCCCTACCTACATCCCCCCCCCCTACTACGTCTGCCTCCATATTCCTGAGCTGCCCTCAAATATTTCGTACCCGGGACAACCAGTATTGCCAGAAGAATAGCCTCCGTGATCAAGAGGTGTTTCGCAACTTTTCCGCCAGGAGAAGGCCGCGTGCGCATCGGGAAAGAGGCGAACTGCATCGGTGGTGAGCGTTTTGCCGCCAGAGCACGCACCCAATCCAGTCTGTGAGGAAGAGAATCTCGATGTTTTCCGTTGGCATTCCGACGACTTCGTGGATCAATCGGAGCCTCAGGTGACTGGGACCTCCTCCAGTGGGCGTGGCCATGCTGAACAGCATGGACAGGGCACTGCGACGCAGGCGCGCCACCACGCATTAAAAGGGAATGCCGCCCTAGGCGACACTAAAGTGAGCTATAAGATGTACTTTTATTGCTCATTGTTTTTGTACTGGTTGAATTGTTTGCAAGCTGATCGTCGTTATACCAATGACCTTGTTATCTGAATTATGTATACAGCAGCTGCATTATCCTGTTACGCTTAACAGAAATTTTAAAGATCATATAGCGTTTATTTTTTTGTTCGGCGTTGTCGCTGTAGCATTACTGTGCGTGTGACTAACATAACTTGAGACTTCTGTTGGCGACATGATTTCTCTTATCCAAATATTTTCGATAGAGTTGCTATTGCTTTTAGCATTTTCCTGCCACTGATAGATAGAGGGACCCATACAGGCAGAGTTGAAAATCAGTGACCCACCAGGTTAAGAAGATAGTGCGCAGATCAACGTAGTCGGACTTGGTTTGGGCGAAAAACAGTGCGCTGATGGTGATGTAGATGGCGGTGCCGTCCGTGTTGAATACGGCCGCCATAGGAATGAGGAGTCGCACTGCGAAAACAGGGTCGTAGCAATGCACCTACCATGACATAAAACAGGATGCGCCGGCAGCTCTGAAGGCAGTGAGCACGACCCTCGTATGGGCTTGAAAGGGCATCTAACTACCTCCAATTATTTTTTTTAACATTTCAACTAAGCGTACGCACAGGGTTCATAATGCCGTCACGGTCAACAATGCCAAACGCGACCGCAGAGACGGTGCCAGGATATTTTTACGGGGGGGGGGAGGCACCCATGACAAGTGAGTTGCTTCGTTGGGGGGGGGGGGGGGAGGCAAGTAACATGTGCGTAGTGTTTTGCAAAACTATGCATTGCCTTTGTGGGGCGGCAAAAGGGTGGGGCAGGCGCAAATTTAAAGGAGGAGGGGGAGAGGGCTCCAGCGTTCCCCTAGCCCCTGGTGGCGCTACCCCTGCGCGGCAGTGCTACGAGCCGCGGGCGCGCAACAGGTACCACACAACATGGTGGATGGAGGAGGCGCACCGATCTTGGTATCCAGGTTGAGGCGCTCCTCGAGCGCAGCGATGGTGGCCGGCACTGTCTCGCTGCTCGAGACGGCGTTGAAGGCGACCGCCAGCGGGGTTGCCGCGTTGTGCAGCAATCCACGGAAGGTGCGCGTCGTGGCGGAGGCCGCCACGAGGAGAAGCAGGAGCAGCGAGTGCAGGGCCAGAGAAAGCACCAGGGCGAACAGGTACAGGCCGAAATAGGACACCACGGGCTGCGGCATCAAAACACACACAGTCCAGGCAATCTCAATATGTTGCGAACTTTATGCGTTCTATCCTCTCATCTGTACATACTCATCATCATCACTCCAGTTTCGGTTGTGGGGCACATACTCGAGACAATAAAGAAGAGCCTTGAAGACCTTGGACCCTGTCTTACAATATATATATCCATATATACAGAAACGCCAGCTGGACAGGAGCAGATTCTCCCCTAACCGAGTAGGAATTTCCTATTTACTAGCTTCAATACTCTCGCTAACTACTTTGTGCAAGTCTGTTCACGTAGTAACACGACAATATTTCATCTTTTACAATGTGGCCCTTGTAGTTTTTATAGATAGTTTGCGCGTTCACGTCATGAACGCAGCTTCTGAACGTATCCGACAATCCAGACTGCCGGTTGTGAGTACAAAAAGGTTACGGTTAACCTGCTTGAGGTGGGATAACGACGTGGCAGAAATGCATTTGTGCGTGAATAACGAAATAACCATCAAGTAGTGCTTTGATAAGGTTATCGAGATATCGCAAACGTCACGAACACCCCCCCCCCCCCCCCGCCAATGCTAATACTCAGGCACAGCTGTTTTAGTGACAAAGCCATCTATGGGCGGTATTCAATTGTCTTGGGGATCCCAAGTGCTCTGCAACGCAATACTGCAGTTTTGCGTGCACGTGGCTCCAAACCACGGAGATGAATCAGTCTGAAATTTCAACTAAAACATGAGGGGGGGCACTGGGCCATGAAGAACATAATATAACCATGAGGCTACCCCACGCACCTGCAGGTTGCGTGTCTGTACGACATAGGCGGCCGTGGCGAAGAACAGCCCGAATGGCACGTACAGCAATACGAAGTGCACCAGGTACATCATGGCGTTGCTGAAGCCGATGAAGAAACCCAGGAGCGTACCGCTACCTCCGTGTGCCGACAGGACGTAGCCCAGCATGGCGCAGAAGAGCAACAAGCTCGCCTGGTGACCGACAAGCCTCGAAGAACTGGCCCCGTGCAAACCAGTCTTGTCTGCGTGTACATAAGAGCCTGTCAAGAAGCAACACCCCGCTTTAGCCCAACAGCTTCGGCAAGACTACGGGGAGGTGCTACACGGAGTGCGGAGGCTTTGAGGCACATCCACACTTGCGACTATATAGGACAAGTCACGCGATCAACTGCGACTGGCGACCTGCAAGCGACTCGAAGCAACCCATGTTCACACCTGCGTATGACTTATACCCATCTCCACGCATAACTCACGCCCGCTCACACAGGGCTCGCATTTCCACTGGCCCGTAAAATAAGCTCGCGTGATGTTACTGCCCATTTTATTAGCACCGAGGTTTGTGTTTGCACTCGCGCGGTTAAAAAATCGAGCAGCAATCAACTGAGCCAGGGCACTCGCTTTGCAGCAGCTACTTTGCGACTATTCGCAACTAACTTGCACGCGTGAGCCCTGTAGGGGTCATACTGAAACTTTTGTCACACACAACACGAGGATACATACGAAAAGTTCACAATGACCCGCTCAGTCCTTGAGAACTGGTCCTTGTGAACATCTGATATGTGCCCTCGCATTGTGTGCGCAAAAGTTTCAGTATGCAGCCGAACCAACCTGCCCGGGTTGGCGTGTTATTGCTTTAGGGGTCGGCTCTCACTTGCGGTGCTTTGTTTTATAGAGATAGCTACAGGCTTGCGCAGGGTTCTTCGTTAGATGCAAAGCATCAACACATCCTACTCCACCAACCCACCCCATTACTGAACTAGCCTGAAAGAAAAACAAGCTTCACAACAGATTCAACCATGTAAATAAAGCAATGACGAGCTTCTCACAATGTTCTGCCTGTGGTTACGTTAGGTGAAGGCGAGAAGTAAACTGCTACGTATTTTAATGCAATGTCACGGATCCTCGCTGCCATTATATAACAAAAAAAAACTGCATCTCCAATACTTTGCACTTGAATAACGCGGCTAGTTGCGACTGAACAAAGATATGGGGCTGACTTGGACCCGTCGTGGTCGTTTCATTAATTTGGTATATGCGAGAACGTCCATGGAATCACGTGTATGCATGACAAAGATGAGTGAAGCGTTTAACATGACGACCTTCGAATAGCGCGTTCCATGCTCTAACCACTGAGCTACCACAGCGGCCTAAGGCGTTTGACATGAGCGAACAAAACAAAAATCGAGGGCTCATTTTTTTACTCAACCTTAACAAAAACCAGCAGATAATGAAGTCGAGAATGTTACAGAGTACGTTAACTGTACTGTTTTAAGTGTATCGTCGTATAATTGTGACAGATGTAAAAAAAAAAGGAAGCGGATGAAGATAAAATGAACGGCACGGGACGCCCGTCACGTAGGTTACTGTTCTTCATATCTGTCAGGATAAAGAAAACATCATCGCAAGCGTTGTAGGCACTTCATAACACGCCACAATAATTTTTTTTTCTTCGAGAAAGTGCAGGAGTTCGTATAAAGGATGCTTTCGCCTAACTGATAAGATCACAGAACGGCAATATCTCTTCTCTGTGACGGAGCTAGAAATTTGAAAGTGAACATACCGTTTTAAAACCTTGCCAGCGTTTCCTGAATTCAATAAAAGAAATTGAAGTAATGGTTAAATGCAAGGCAGCTCTGCCACGCCTTTTTCTATCGTTTCTGTTCGTCCATAACTGTTGCTTTAAAAGAGTTTTCGAGATGAAAAAGTCAAAACAATAATAATGATTTGATCGCATTAAACGCAACGGATCTGATACATGTTCTCACATGTTCTCGTGCACATGATCGCGGGAAGGTATGCGAGAAAACGTTTTCTCTCACATGCGACGATTCAGTTTCCAAACTTACTCGGAAAAGGCACCGATTCATCTCCGTCCTGGAAAGAAAGAAAGAAAGAAAGAAAGAAAGAGAAAGAAATAAAGAAAGAAAGAAATAAAGAAAGAAAGAAAGAAAGAAAGAAAGAAAGAAAGAAAGAAAGAAAGAAAGAAAGAAAGAAAGAAAGAAAGAAAGAAAGAAAGAAAGAAAGAAAGAAAGAAAGAAAGAAAGAAAGAAAGAAAGAGGTGTGCATAAAATAAATAAGCTCGCATATTCACTTTTTCACATGCATTGCGGCGCCTTCCCTCGACTATTCTTTACTAAGTGTTACCTCGGCGTTTCTAAGACACGTTCGATTACCCATTTGTTTTAGTTCCCTAGTTTTCCTTTGTCGCTAACAATAACAAATGCTCGTTCGTGTTCGCTACCTTAGTGCTTTTTGTCGTCAGGTTTTAATGCATGCCAGATGACCAAAATTTCCGACGTCATCATGATGTCATTACGTCATCAGAAGACATCGTCATCGCTTGGTCCAAAGGGGACCGATCCCTGAGGAAGTGCAGAACCACGTCAAATGCAGAAATGCACAGGTGGGTCTGGCGGGGCAGTTGACCGAGAGCACCAAGTAATTTAATGTGCGCATTTTGCATTGCGGCTCGTCCTGTACGAAGTCAGGTTCACTACTGCATAACTTGAAAGGTCCATAATACGGTCACTCCACAATTCGCGGTAATCAGCAAAATATGAATGTAGGGACTTTGCTAAGCTTTTAAATATCTAAAATATGGACTGAAAAAGGAAATTTCAGTCAAAAGTAAGCCCTAGATGTCACCCGCTAGAATACCCGCCCAACACCGGCGACTGCCATTTCGTCGTGGCGTGTTTGATGTCATGTGCTGCTTGCAGTGGAACCATTGTTTTGTACCGAATTCTCAGCTGCTGATTGTTCGATTTCCGTGGCAAGCTGACCGACGTCGAGATAGGTCGATCGCACACTCAGTTGACCACGGAATAAAATACTTAGCTGCAATAAACACGCTCGCGCAACTAGCAGCTTGTTACGTCACGGCTCGCAAGCGCGCCAGTGTTGCCAGACTCTCGAGTCATTCACATGTTTATAAAAAATATACAATCTTAAATTAAGCTCTTGACCAGATGTGCCGAGATTTCGCCAACTTGTTTATGAAAGCACGAGGATAAAAATTACGTGAATTACGAGAGAAAACTGGGTGCCATGGCCCTCTTGATACATTACCAAATGCGCAGCAGGATATCGCCTTCATGTCGCATTAAATGTGAGGTGCTGCCGAATTTCATCAATTCACTACGGAATTTTCTCTGAAACCCGCATACGTTTTCAAAAGTTTTAACTCAATGCTACAGTCAGCCGAATCACTTTTTTTTTCGTTTTTCAGTTATATAATACAATGATAGAGTCGTATGCAATATTCATGAGATCTAACAGGCAATCATGCCAAGGAAAGTATAGGAGATGTTATTACAACTAACTGTTATGTAAATGCGAAGAAAGAAAAGTGGACGAATACAGTTATTACGTTGAAACATCACAAATGGTTACTTATCTATTAACTACATACTGCCAATCTGATCAGGGATTATTGCAGGAAGGGCACAACTTATAAATAAAAAACTTTGATAAATATAAAAAGCATCGGAGGACGAATTAATTTCGGTGACTTCATATCAAGGAGGAGGAGGAATACACTTTATTATAAGAAACCAGCAGGTTTAGGTGGCCGGGCCTAGGCCTCCCATGAGGGGACGTCAAGGGCTTGCCTCGACGCCGCCTCACGGGCGTGCTGGGTTGCCCAGGTTTGGCCGTAAAGAGCGGGGCTCCGCAGAGCCTCATGGAGCTTCGACGAAAGGATTGTGGCGTTAGTGTGTCTGTACTGTGCGCTGTGGGATTGCCCGGCACAGTACTTCATATCAAGTAAAAATTATTTTTTTTACCATCAAAACCTGAGGGTCTAACATTTGAATAGTTTACTGATTCTAACAATGCCCGCCAGGACATCTTGCATATCTCTACGCTGACACGTATACAATCACACACTTCCATAAAGTTAGTGATGGTTCAATCCAACTTTCTAGTTCAATGCAGCGAGAATACTCACTGCGTGGATAAATGTCTCCACGATGTTATCCGGAAATAGCGTCCTGTTGAAAATATAAATAGCACGCAATTAGGTTCCTGCAACGTAAATACCTGAATGTAAACATTCGACAGAAGTCTGTCTGGTTGGGTATGAAACTGGGCGATGATTTAGACTCCCATCCCACAGTGTATACACACGGACTGCACTCCACGGTAAAACGAGAGAGAGGGGGGGGGGTCATTGTCCACCCCGCGAGTGCTTTGAAGACGCCGCTGCTACGTAGCCTCCGCAGTCACGCCTGAGGAAGGAATCAAGTCGGTTTCGAAACGTCTGGTTTCTTCAAAATTTTTGGTTGGAGTGTAACCTCCAAGCGTAAATACCGTTATGGGCGCCTAGCCTACAGTATGTATGCTGCCAGCGCGATGACACACGGTCAAGAAAGAGGTCAATACACTGCGTTGTCTTACAAGATAGTCTTATTGCTGTAACCGTTTCATGCACCTAAATACATGAAGATGCAAAGGTGAAGAAAGATGGAGCAAAAGGGGGGGAAATAAAAAATAACATATTTCGGTATCCTTCACAGGTATTGCGGTTTCGTGCCCATTTTCAAGAGTACTATGCGCATGTGCTGGCTAGGAATAGTCAGCTCACGCGCGAAATCATTGAAGTTGATCGCAACAGAAAGGCTGGTAGTGATTGCGATAGCTCCCCATCCACTTCTCTCGGTCCATGTGAAATACACTTTTTAGATAGATCGTGATTTTTTTTTTGAATTGTTCAGGAGTCATAGTTCCCACATGTGACGTGTGCTGAGTCAACGCCTTTATTTCTTTTCCTATTACTTCTGCGTTGTATTAAGTGCATAAAACGGCTACAGTGATAAAACTATGTTGTAATACAGCGCAGCATGTAGTCCTCTCTCTTGTTCGTGTGTTCCCACGTTGGTAGTATACTGCCATCAATTTCCAACAGGTTGAAGTCGCCAACCTTGTGCGCCTATGCACATTGCAGTCAATGGGAACACAGCAGCACTCGTGTATGCCGATGTGTCAAACATGCGACGATACCGTCACTGGGAATCAAAAGACCCTGAAGCGACATGTGCTTTGGGAACGGCACTCTCACCAGTCTCGCGCGCGTCCGAAGTTTAGAGACGCGGGGTTGAGATCTCCTCCGTGAGGTGCCGCAACGATAGTGCAGCGCAGGGAAGTGCACCTATAGGAATTCACCCCACGCTACCGTAGTTCTGCCTGCACTGCACATGTGCCCCAACATGGGATCATGCGTTGCGCTGATACCTAGCTTTTGAAGACACTTCAACGGAGAAATTCAACGAACAATTTCGGTCTGTCTGTCGTTTGTCGGTCTGCCGCACGATTCAGCCACTCGGCGAAAGTTTAAGCCCTTGTTCAATGCGGTTTCAAAGTCACAAGCGTTGTACCCCAAAAAACTTCCGGTCACCTAAGTTACAAGGTACTAACGTCTAAACTGGAAGCACGTTTACAAGTTATTTTCAAGGGTAAGGAGAGTCTCTCTTTCGTTTTCACATAAAAGAAATGTGCGTAAAGTACAAGGCTATCCTTTATAATTTTTATGTAGCTCAAAAAAGCATTTATTTGAATATATTTCGCCAAATAAGGGAAGAAAATTGTAGAAATTTAGCGGGCTATTTTCTAAAGCTCTTCTTGCTCAGCGACGCTATTATGGCACAACGGTGAACTAAACTGGATGTCATCAAGGGTCTACAGCCATCTTGATCTGGTGGCTGCGTTCATAATTCGAACATTTTCGGTCAAAAAAGCAAATATTACGCACACTTTAGCGCCCTAACCACTGTTCCACCGAAGCGGACGCACTTGAAAGCAGTAGGAGTGTTTGACCTTCCAGTCGCCTTAGGCGAATGCATAAGGAGCCCTGCGAATTTCTTCTATAGCACCACGCCCCCTTTGCGCAGGATCAAACAAGAATGGCAAGTTGGTGACCTGGCGACGTCGAAAAGCAAGTCCCCGGCACTTCCATTCTGGCCAGGCTCGTGGAGTCTCGCGTGAGCCGGCACGGCGTCCAGGATGCGTTGGAGGTCGCCGGCCTCGAGGGCGCGACCGGGCTGCACCGCGAGCGCGGTCAGCACGGCGTTCGCCTGCGCCACCAGCTTGACGACCAAGGCGTAGACGAGCGCGAAGCAGGCGACGCGCGCGGACAGCGTCCGCTCCAGCGAAGCCGACGCGGCGATCACGCTCGACGCGCTCAAGGGGAGCGCCGCCTCGCGCAGCAAGCGCCTCAGTATTTCGCCCGGAAAGCCCAGGTACATGACCTGCGGAGCAGTAAGGCGCTCGCATTGATCGATCGATTGATTGATTGAGTGATTGATTGATTGATTGATTGATATGTGGGGTTTAACGTCTCAAAACCACCATACGATTATGAAAGACGCCGTAGTGGAGGGGCTCCGGAAATTTCGACCACCCGGGGTTCTTTAACGTGCACCCAAATCTGAGCGCACGGGCCTACAACATTTCCGCCTCCATCGGAAATGCAGCCGCCGCAGCCGGGATTTGAACCCGCGACCTGCGGGTCAGCAGCCGAGTACCTTAGCCACTAGACCACCGCGGCGGGGCAGTAAGACGCTCGCAGTTCAGCGGTCAGGACGCTTCGCATTCTCCAGTAGCAAGGTTTAGAGTCATATGTGGCACGCGGGTCTGGTCACCTACACCAAAATTTTAGGAGGAGGAGGAGGTTGTATTTTCGAGGTCCTGACGGGCGATTCGTCCTCAAGGCGTTTGACTATAGTGCGAGATAAGCCTAGAAAAATTCAGTTATTTTAAAAAGTTGTTCGAGTTGGTGATTCATCATCCTAACATGTAAGTTAAGTAATTAGATAACTACTAGGTGAGTCGGTTAATTGGATTGATTTTGTAGAAATACAGCCTGTTATTTTGTACCCACTCCCGGTTTGAGCTTATACGTACGTTACTTGTTTCGCTTGCTACCCTCGTCTCTATATTTTTAAAATGTCTGAGCTACGCATGCACCTATCAAGGCCAAGTATCACTGTTTGCGCAATTTACTAAAGTTTTTTTTTTTTTGTGCAAGCGCATTTGACTTGCTAGTTGCTACATCATTTGTCCGGCATGCGTAAGTGCACCAATCTATCTGAAGTGTCGTTTGTGAAATAAAATTAGGTGGGAGTGTAGCGAGTGTCCTGTTATTTTTTTTCCTTTCGTCACCGTCAAAGTGCGCTACTTTATCTATAAGGTCTATTATAGTAAGTTACTAAGTGATTCACGCACAACAAACATTAAGCGAATTTCCTTCTTTCCTTTCCAAGCAGTATATATTAGTCAGGTTTTAATAGTCATTTTTGCCAGCAGCTGCACCATTGTCCGTCGTCTTTTTATTGCTTCGTGATTGGCGCCTATGCCGTCAGCATTACCATAACATCAATTCCAGCCCCGCCGCGGTGGTCTAATGGCTAAGGTACACGGCTGCTGACCCGCAGGTCACGGAATCGAATCCCGGCTGTGGCGGCCGCATTTCTGATGGCGGCAGAATCGTTGTAGACCCGTGTGCTCAGATTTGGGTGCACGTCAAAGAACCCCAGGTGGTCGAAATTTGCGGAGTCCTCCACTACGGCGTCTCTCATAATCACATGGTGATTTTATCACGTTAAACCCGACATACCTATCAATAAATTTCAACCCTAATTTTAGTCATAATCTTCCGCAATCTCTGAATGAACGTACCAGGCCCGGAGGACGATTTAAAAATTCACGGTGCGCGATTCATATTATTATGCAAAGCACGGGAATAGAAGGCGGTCAACGTCCCGTTCTCTTGAGCCGATCTCTAAACCTGAATACCGAAAAAAGAAAAGCCGCTGTACTTGGCCGATATGAGACCGCTCACTTGTCGGCAACTTGGAAGTTTTGTATATAACCCCTGATCTCTAAGCCAGAAAAAAAAAACGGAAGTGTACAGGAATGTAAGTGCATATAAACTCCAGGTCATCAGCAACTTCTTATAGTAGTAATGATTTTAACAGGCTGCGACTTCTCAGAGAAGGTAAAAAAAAAAACAAAGAATCTAAAAGAAAGCGCATTATCAACACTGCACCAGATCGAACGATTTGACAGGTCCCACAAGTTCGCCGTGAAGATTCTCAATATTATAGCAACAATGGGTATTGAAAGTTTCGCTTTCACGGCACGCACACCAGGCTGTGTCACATCTAAGGTGAGTGGCGTTTAGTGTCATATGACCGCAGTTGCATGAAATAGCTTTTCTGAAACCGCAGATTTGCCCACACTATATAGGGTGTCGACATGTGAAATTAAACATAGGCTATGCTTTTAACCAGGCAGAAGTTCATATTGCAGAAGTTCATTTCATATTGCCAGCACATCCTGCAAGCCACAGGCAGGGGTGGATTGTACAAAGTGTGAACTAGGGGGCTCGTTGGAGCCAACGTTCCTCCGACAATCAGACTCGTCTTCTTAAAGATAGCAATGAAGAAGACAATTCCACTTGCAGAAATAAGCCAAAGCGCGCGAGTGGAGGCGACTAACGCGGCCGAAGCAGAGGTGAAACGAGCCGTCCGTCTCCGTCGCACGGAGAGCGCATGCCATAACATTATCTCACACACGATTCCTGTCATCCAATTCCCTTAAAACAGAAAGAAAAAAAAACGTCCCACCGGTCTTTCTTCATGGAAAGAATCACGAAGGGACGCCGTGGGAGGGAAGAGCTGTCACTGCGTCGCTTGAGCAGCAACTGCCAAATTCTATCCTAAAGACGTGGTCGGGAACACTGGGGCGCGCGGCGTCTTAGCAGAAATTAACGTGCCACATACCCTGTGCATGCTGTGCTCACATCGCTTAACTTCACGTTGAGGCTAAATACAGCACCAAAACTACTTCGCTCGATAAAGCGGCCGTATTCCCTCACACCAGCGTTTCGTAGAGCTACGCGAGGTCGGATCCGAGAGAGTTGAAGGCTTACCTTACTTGGCATAAGATGACAATTTGTTGCTATCGCAATCACTGACATCTTATCCACTGTTACACATTCACTGCTATCGCATTCACTGCTATCGCATTCGCTGCTTCGTTTTTACAGTGAAACAGCGATCTTTTTTTTTAACCGGGGCCACTAGCTCAGTATACGGTTCAGTTACTGGCAAATGCATCTATTCAACTAACTTTACCGAGCCTCGGCAGATAAATACTGGCTATCCAGTCTCCCAAGACATTCGGAAGTATAAGAGAGAGGCTGCAGTCTAGAGGCAGCTACACTTCGTCGTAAACACCGAAGTGTGCACGTACGTGGCGTGACGGCCATGGCTTGGTGGACAGAAAGCGCAGCACAATACCCACGGTGACACCGGTGGTGAGGGCCGCAAAGATGGACACGTTGAAATTGCCGCCGTGAACGGAGCCCGAACTGCGCGCCTCCTTGGCCACCGCCATGCCCGCCAAGCTGGCAGCCTGGCTGACCTCGTCAACCTCGGCACACGGCTGGCACGGCGTAGGCCCGAGAACCGTATCGACCAGTTCGGCTCGGGGGTTCGCCGCCTGGACGGTAAGCTCCAAGCGGTAATCCATTTATCCACAAAGTTTCTGATGAAAAACACCGTTCCTTGTGACTAGAGCGCATCCAAATTAAAATATAGAGGCGAAAGCCTTAGACATACCTAATAGAAAAGCAAAGTGGCCATTGTCAACGCAAGTGATGCCCCGATATTACGTCATTGTGATGTTACAAGTCGCCAAGAATTGCTACGTCATAGTAGCATCACGAACTGCCACCACATGATGACGTCATCCTATGGCATCGTCACCTAGTCAAAGTAGGGCCAACCCCGTAAGCACTGAAATACCGTGGCGGCCGAAAGCTCTCATGCGAGGTGCATGAGGGGGGAGGGGGGTGTTGTTACAATCAAACACGGGCATCCGAAGGAGGGTAGTAAAAGGGGGCAGCCACCCTCCACACCACTGCAATTTCGGATAATATTGCAGCTGCAATAAGCCACAGAGTTCGAGTGGCGCACTCAGGTCCGGCATATTCGTGTGAAATGGCCTTCAGGACGCTGGCAGCCAATTTTGCATGTTACAGATAATCTTGCCGGTCATGGCTCGCAGTAAAAGAAAGGCTGCACGTGTTTCAAAGAAGTGCGACGTTGGGCAAGTCATTGCTGCATATTTAAATGTGAATGGCAGCGTGAAAAAACAATCAAGTACGCAGAAAACAACCACTGCAGAACTAACAACGGAATCTTTATTGCATGAAGCCAATAAATATACAAGAAAGCAACCTTCCTTGCATACGCAGCGCTCCCAATCAAAACAACTATGATGAGCGCATCTTTTTAGCTGTGGTAAAACTCGCAGAAACGAAGAAGCGCCTTCCAGATACGCGATCTCTCCTTTTTTTTGGAGATAACGATGTGATGCTGATATATTACGAACATTTTTTGTAGATAGCGGAAGCTTCTTATATCAAGCGTTTCTTCCCCATATCTGCTAAAAACACAGCAAGCGTGAAAGTTTCGAGAGCACAGTGCCAGTTTGTTCCTAAGCTTCTGGCGAAGATTGTTTTATCTGGAAGGCACTCCTCATTTTCGCGAGTTTTATCACAGCGAAGAAAATGCTCCCGACGTCTTTGCTGTGATTGTGGGGTGTTGCGCTAGCGGGAAGGCTGGTTTCCTGTCTATTCATTGTCTTCGTGCACCAGCGCTCGTGTTAGTTTCAGCGCTCGTGTTGTAACTTGTTCTTTTCAGCGCCCTTGTTTTTATTTCTTACAGCAGTTCACGTTTAAATACGCACCTGCTTGATGCCAACCCCTCCTTCGCTCCCCCCTTCAGATGAAAGTTCTGCGGAGAAGGGAAATATGTCCACCGCCTTCGAGTCATCTTAGGTAAGTGCCCAAAAAATCATGCGACTTTTAATCGCTTCGACTCATTATTTAACGACACGCTTTCAAAGACGTGAGTGAAAGTTTGTCCACACTAGTGCCCCCTTTTGTAACACCCGACAAGTTAGCCTATCACGTAACGTGTCTTGCTGCTTAGCTCTAAAGTGTAGCTTTCACTCCCGGCCACGGTAAAGGCATTTCTATGAAAACGAAGCGGATGAACGCCCGTGAACTTATATTTAGATGCACGCGTTAACAAACCCGAGGTGATAATAATAATACCTAGAGTTTCACGTCCCAAAACCACGGTACGATTATCAGAGACGCCATGGTGAAGGGACCCGGAAATTTCGACACTATGGTGTTCTTCAACGTGCACTGACTTTGGGCAGTTCACGGGCCTCTACCACTTCACATCCGTCGACGTGCGACTGCCACGGCCGGTATCGAACCCGCAACCATCGGGTCAGCATCTGAGCACCCTAGCCACTGTTCTACCGAGGCGGACGAAAAACCACAGGCGATCAAAATTAATCCGAGCTTTTCTACCAAGGCGTGCCTCGCGATAAGTCAGTGCCTTGCTGACTGGCTGTACCCTTCCTGTCATCAATACCCGCTGGAAATTCTTATAATGCCCTTCCTCATATATCAAGTATCGCCCAAGCATGAAACGGAAACCGGGTGTAAGGAAAGGACTTAAAGACGCCGAGGAACGTCAAACCAGAACTGAAGAAGACGAACGGCAGGTGGCGCGAAGGCGACAACAAGAAGTGAAGAAGAGGAGAAGGCACGTGCGATTACGAGGCAACTGTGCGCCAATCAGCTGATGACCAGTGGTGGCCCATAGAGGTGGCGTGCCACGATTGGGCCACGTGCGACCATTACGTGGCAGTAGGCTGTGTGGCTGGGGACTAGCCGGAGCAGCGGCAGACGGGAGACAGCGGGCCGAAGCGTCGGACGCAGGCGATCCAGGTTCCGGCCAGGGAACGCGGCCGTCCACGCTGCTGCCGTCCAACCACCAGCTGGGCGGCATTGCCGGCACGAGTACTGCATCTCGGGGCGCGGCCTGGCCTGCTGTTCTCTTCCTTGCCGAGGGCATCGCGGATCTCGGCGAGGCGTCTCCACGGTCAGCCGTTCGACACAGCGATGAACCTGGCCTGGCTAATGGTCACGGTTGCGTCAAGCATCGCGTCTCGGCGCACGCTCTTCGCTGGACGGGCTGGCCATTCCCCGCATGGAGCATCGCGTCTCCGATGCGGGTTGACTGCTCAGTAGTCGCACCCATGCCATCAAGCGCCGGTGTCACCAGAGTGTCGCACGTCGGCAAGGGACGAGCGAGACGTTCTGCCGGGCGAGACGCGGGCGTGTGCACGGAGGACCACGGAGCCGGGCGAGGTCCAGGGTGGCCGAGGATCGAGGGGCCAGGGGAGTTGCTGGCGGAATCGAGGATCGCCAGCGGTGCCGAGCCGTACCGAGAAACGTGCGAAAAGAGCTCGAGGGTGGAGGCCAGGAAGGCAGAGGAAGCGATGCGCCGCTCGAGAGGACGAGTTTCTGGCAGCGTTCCTGAGCCGGACGTGGGACCCGTACGTGTCGGCCAGGTCGAGCTCCGGTGTGTCGGTTCGAGGTCGAGTCCGTCGGCCTGTACAAGGTCCAAGGACGGGGCCTGCTGAATGGCTCCTGCTTGGGTGCAGTGGCCGCGAGCGGGTTCATGGGTGAGGCCTACCGGGTGTGGTCCTCGTGAGCCGTGGCCTGATCCTGGACCTCGGGAGTTGCGACCCAGGCTGCTGGGTTGGTCGCAACGTCCGATTCAACGGCGCTGCACACGGTAGCGCATCCGTGTGCGGTCAGCCGTTCCAGCCGTGCCACCTTTGCCCTCGCGCACGTCGACGACCGCATCATGTCGGGACGACGGGGACACAAACTGTGAGGCACAAAACTTGCCACCATAGCAGAGATGTCCGCAATCTCCTTCGTGAAATCTCCTGTCACTTCCTTCTCTAGTGCACAATATAAAGCTTCTTTTGTTCGCATCAATTGTCGATGTTAATCCTTTATCGTCCGCTATAAGCAAACATAGTGACGAACGTCCTTTATCCATCACAATTTCTGGCGTCCGCGACAGGACTAAGCTCTCGCGTTACATCTGAGAGCCTCACGTTGTTTGTGTGTGGCAGACGAGAATGGATGACAAGAGAAAGCTAGTGGAGCTAGGGAAGGAGATGGGGCTAAGTGGAGAGGCTTTGCTGGCATGGGTGAGCGCTGAGGAAAAAGAAATGAGGGACCAGAGAGCGAAAGATCGAGAGGAGCTACGTCTAGCAGCACAGGCGGAGCATGAGCGTGAAATAGCTCTCATGGAGGCTGAAAGGCTCCTGCTCGAGGAGTGACGTCTGTTCATTGTTGTGTGAGAAAAGTTGTTTTGTGTAAACAACTTTCTTGAGCAGGGGGATATTGTAAGGAAAGGACTTAAAGACGCCGAGGAACGTCAAACCAGAACTGAAGAAGACGAACGGCAGGTGGCGCGAAGGCGACAACAAGAAGTGAAGAAGAGGAGAAGGCACGTGCGATTACGAGGCAACTGTGCGCCAATCAGCTGATGACCAGTGGTGGCCCATAGAGGTGGCGTGCCACGATTGGGCCACGTGCGACCATTACGTGGCAGTAGGCTGTGTGGCTGGGGACTAGCCGGAGCAGCGGCAGACGGGAGACAGCGGGCCGAAGCGTCGGACGCAGGCGATCCAGGTTCCGGCCAGGGAACGCGGCCGTCCACGCTGCTGCCGTCCAACCACCAGCTGGGCGGCATTGCCGGCACGAGTACTGCATCTCGGGGCGCGGCCTGGCCTGCTGTTCTCTTCCTTGCCGAGGGCATCGCGGATCTCGGCGAGGCGTCTCCACGGTCAGCCGTTCGACACAGCGATGAACCTGGCCTGGCTAATGGTCACGGTTGCGTCAAGCATCGCGTCTCGGCGCACGCTCTTCGCTGGACGGGCTGGCCATTCCCCGCATGGAGCATCGCGTCTCCGATGCGGGTTGACTGCTCAGTAGTCGCACCCATGCCATCAAGCGCCGGTGTCACCAGAGTGTCGCACGTCGGCAAGGGACGAGCGAGACGTTCTGCCGGGCGAGACGCGGGCGTGTGCACGGAGGACCACGGAGCCGGGCGAGGTCCAGGGTGGCCGAGGATCGAGGGGCCAGGGGAGTTGCTGGCGGAATCGAGGATCGCCAGCGGTGCCGAGCCGTACCGAGAAACGTGCGAAAAGAGCTCGAGGGTGGAGGCCAGGAAGGCAGAGGAAGCGATGCGCCGCTCGAGAGGACGAGTTTCTGGCAGCGTTCCTGAGCCGGACGTGGGACCCGTACGTGTCGGCCAGGTCGAGCTCCGGTGTGTCGGTTCGAGGTCGAGTCCGTCGGCCTGTACAAGGTCCAAGGACGGGGCCTGCTGAATGGCTCCTGCTTGGGTGCAGTGGCCGCGAGCGGGTTCATGGGTGAGGCCTACCGGGTGTGGTCCTCGTGAGCCGTGGCCTGATCCTGGACCTCGGGAGTTGCGACCCAGGCTGCTGGGTTGGTCGCAACGTCCGATTCAACGGCGCTGCACACGGTAGCGCATCCGTGTGCGGTCAGCCGTTCCAGCCGTGCCACCTTTGCCCTCGCGCACGTCGACGACCGCATCATGTCGGGACGACGGGGACACAAACTG